CATCTCTAGCTTTCGAAATTATGAGCACATTGCATTGCTTTTCAGGAGCTTTGCGATTCTGGATTGTGACCCTTAAATGGTGGGCAGGCTATCCCAAAAGATAATGGGTGATGATCCTTGAATGCCCCCTAAGGGGCCTGTGATATGGACATGCAGTGTTATTTGGTTTGGGAGGCTCCAATTGCTTGCGATCCTGCCGCTGTTGACCAGTCAGCAAAGTAGCAAAGTTACATGTGGCATATGAATTGAGAGCCCCTTTCTTGCAAGGGGCTGACTAGGACGATGCATGGCTAAGCTTCAAATGGGGAGCTGCGACTATGGGTTTGAATTCGTGTAGACTTTGGGCGAATCAGCGCGGTGCCGGAAATCAAGACGGCTCCTTCTTCCTGCAGAATGCACCCGCTACAGCTGCTACAGCTGAATCAACGGTGATTTTCATGTTTAGTCGAGACTGATTTGTTTGGGTCTTCCGTTTTGAGTTGAAGTGAACATAAATCAACCGGGGCGGCTTCTTTGAGGTTCCCATTGCGGACCTCACGCAGGAAGACACAGCAATAGCAGCAAGGCTTCCAAGCGTCACATGCCAGTCGGCACCAGGATGTCCAAAGGCACGCGGGCCGCCACGGGATTGATGAATCTCAAGTCGCTGGCACGAAGGATTGTTGGGAAGCCGCACCCCTTAGTTGATTTTGACTGGGCGGGAAGAAGGCGTTGGAAGAAGGCGTTGGAAGTCGGGGATTCGTTTCACTTTTGGAGTGCCCTTCGAAAGATTCACCCGATTTATCTTGTGGCTACCACAAAGATGTGCGGGTTCCAGTTAGACGAAGCGCGCCTTCTTAGATACTGTCCGAGCGATGGCAATGCTTACCTTCACAGTGGTTGACACAAATACCTTGCTGTTGGGTAAGGCGTTGATCACTGCTCCTATCAAATACACTCTAGCATTGGATCTGACCACGACCCATGTGCAGGCTGGGCAGGGCTATGCTCTGGTGTAGCTTGCTGTATTTCGAACAATTCGTTATTTCTTGTCAAAGTCTCTAAGGCTCGCAACCTTCCTGTTCCCAAAGCTTGGCGCTCGAATGTTCCCTTAGCTCAGATGTCTTCCCGAACCTCCCTGGTTGAGAACTGTAGCAAGGTGGAGCAGATGAGGCTGGCTTTGCTGCGTGAAGTGCTCGTTTTTGCACAAGTTGGCACCACCCTCCTTCTCAACATTTTAATGCCTCCCTTGCCCGGCCTCCGAATCCAGTTAGGCAGGCGGCCTTTTGCCGCTTGCCCAGAATAGGGAATTGCAGATTCACGCACCAATTTCAAGAAGTTTGACTCATGCAAAGCCATACGCGCAGGCTGGAATAGGAGGCGCCTGAGTTCACAAGTTCGCTATATAGAGCGGCCCTTGGTGCGAGTTGATGTGTACACTCAGTCAAAATGGAGCTCAACGCAAGATACCTGTTCCAAACAGAACCTTTGCGAACTTCTACATTGAAAGGGTGGGAGGCTAACTCGTCCCGAGACTCGACGGCTTTTCGCAGTTTGTCATGATTCTCTAATATTTTAGGTTTAGCATTCCGAAACGATTCTTGACCATTTTAGCCAGGCAGACATTAAGCAAGAAGGGCCCTCCAAACTCATGGCTGCCTGGTCTGTGATCCTGCACCAGTTGGTAGGTGGCTCATTCCGGTAGTCCTAGAGTTCCATCCATTCCAACTGGTGTAGTATTTGTTTGCACAACATGTTTTCCCGTCAACATTTGACATTAAACAAATCCAACGCAGTGCAGGCACTGGCCATGGCGCTCAAGGCCTTGATTGGGTGGATTGATCGGGGCTGCGTCCTCTCTCCCCACATCAACCTTGTTCTGTTGAGGCTTTGGGGTATTTGGACATTAGAGCGTTGGGGTGAGGCGTTAAGGCGTTTGGACTGAAAGCCCTTGCGCGAGTTTTTGGTTTGAGCTCTCGTTTGTTCTGCTTTGTGACATGCGTTTGAAACCGCACGTTGGTGAACTTGATAGCTTTATTGCATTTGGATTCGTCCACACTCCTGGGAGAAACGGCCAGTTGCCGACTTGCCGGCCAGGAGCTGGCAGCAGTTCTACGAGAGGGGAAGGCCCAAGATCCGGGCATCTGAACAGTTTCGTGCCCGTACCCATGATTTGCGACTTTCCTGGGGTTATCAAGGTCAAACCGGGGGGGGGGGGGGTGATCATTTCCTCAACACCTACTTTGGGGCCGACTTCGAAAGTTTTCAATCGGACGCCGGTGTTAGTCTAGTCTATTGTTCTTTTTCGGAGGATGAGCAAGGGGGACACCCAATTCCCCAGACTTGTGGCCACGCAAGTTCTCCAATGCCCTCTTGGGGAAGGACGAATCTCGTTCCGAGGATACATCTCGCAATTTGCGAGTGGCTAAAAGTCAAACAACCATGCAGTATATAGGTTGTTTGCTTCATAGCGGATACCAGCCCCAATATTTCAAGTAAGTCAAGAAATCCGTTGGAACTCTGGAGCTTCGCCTAGCCTTAACCAGCAGGTGACAGCCCAGCGAAAGTGCCTCGAGTTGGACCTCACAAAGGGCTTCGTTGTGCGACCTCACCCATGACAAAGGCTCCTTCCACAGGGTTGGCGATTTGTTATGATTCACCGAAATATATTTGGGTATGTCGCTTTTTGAGGATACCCCTCTTTTTGTAGTTTAAAAGGAAGCCGACATGAAAGCCCGCCATCCCGCAAAAAGGCACCCATTGTGCAGAACACGCATGAGTCAAGACCTCTCGTGGCTTCGGGTTGAAACCCCTTGGTCGATTTACAGCTCGCAGATATCGAGTTCTGAAACCCCTCATCTCACCAAACACAGCAATCCAAACTGGACCCTCGCATCTCACCAATCAGTGCACTCCCCAGACACAATTGTTACATTGCAACATGTGATTGTTTCCACTGGATAGATTGTGCACCGAATTCCGTTTGGCGGGTTTACCTCGAAATCAGCCGAAAGAAAACAGGATGGTTTCGCCCCTTAATACCTTTGTTGAACATCAACCCTTCTGGTTCGTTAAAGTTCAAGAAAGACTGTTGACTACAAAACGCCATGCTCCTCAACCATGGGTTTCATTTCAACTGGCTTGACTAGGCCGACGCTTTGAGTCCGGGCCCTGGCTTGGGAATGCTCGAATGGCATGGGAGTGAAAGTGGGTCACTTCCAGCCGAGTTCGAGGTTTTCTTGCAAGTTTATTAGATGTATTCTTTACACTCAGAGTCGGTAGAATGGCGGCTCTCCCTCCGTTCTCCCTCTTTGTTGCGTTTGTTCCTTTTATTGACAGGCGGGTTCTGTTTGAAATCAACAACCAGAAGGAGGGCAGCCTTTCCGGCTAAGCACGCAAGATAGGGGTTCCTTTCATGCCTAATGCCTAAATCAGGTGTCTTGGCTTTCATGCAGACTGTAAGTACTGCATGGATGTTTCATGCCTCATGCTGGACTCATGCTGCCTTCCATGGGCATGCTCAAGTGATAGGAACCCAAGCCCAAGCCGCGTTTTCATTCTTGGGGTCTCTTTTAGGTTCCCTGAATGAAACAGGACCGAACTCCACCAACACCGGAATGTGGCTATGAAATGTAAGGGTTGGAACCCCTTCAAACATGGTCAGTGATCCCATGTAGATGGTCTCTCAACGATAATTTTCAGATTGGGCACTTGGCAAATCCAACTGAGCCCTGGCACCTGGCGGGCACGTCCGCCACTCGCCAGGGTTGATTTCTTGGTCCGATGTGTGCTTCGGTTTGAATCTGTGTGAATCTGATACGAACGAGCCCACGCGGAAGGACTTGTACCAAATGATCCTCTTATTGCCAGTTGGTGAAATATTGGGAAGTTGCGCAGATCCTCATGAGATGTGGCTCTGTCAAACGGTTCAGGCGTACGCTCCACCAGCACCAGCACCATCATCACCACCACCTTCAGCATTTGAGCAGAATAACCAAAGCGTGGTGCTTGGGGCTTCCACAAGAACCAGCGGCGCCAAGGCGCGTACCCTTTCTTCCACTAACATGGAAGCTTCCAGAGGATGCATTTTCGGGGAAGTGATAGTGGTCTTCCAGCATCCCCCAGTCAGGCAGGTTGCATGTTCGTGGATGGGAGGGTACCTGCACATGGGAGGGTCTGCTTGCGTCAGGCACTGATCGAGCAGAGGCGGGGGCTGAGCTCTTCGGCATTCCTCACCTGAAAAGTAAAACGCGGGGCCCACGCAGGCCCTGTACTCAGGGGCTCCGTTATTTCCAGTTTGGAAATTGTTTGGCAAGTTGCAACTTGCCCAGATTATATGCAGTCCAAGTCAGCGATAATTTGGAATCGCTCAATATGGGTAGGACACTTCATGAATGGACATCATTTACATCGGGCTTTATGACCACCAACTTACATTGGAATTTATTGACATAAACTTGTTTTTTTTCGTTCTTCTGTCATTTTTTGCTATTTTTTGTTGGGGGCGGGTTTCTACAAGTCAGAGTCACAAGGCCGCCTTTGTGTTGGCAACATTTCACCCTACTGGGAGACAATCCCAATTGCATGACATGGCTAAATATGGTGTGCGTTTCATGAAATCAGACAAAGTTTGTGGAGCTGCACCCTGTTTGCTCGTTGGTCTGCGCACCTCGCAGACTCTGCGCTTTGGCTCACAGGGCTGCACAGAAATGTTGTGGGGATCAAGTGGTGCACACTTAGCCAGTGAAAGATGCATTCATGAGAAACATGGATTCAATACGTTTTCAATACGGCTGCGGCGCGTATCAATACTCGGGTGTCTTCCTACATGTTTGGCTTTGTACTGATCCTCCCTACACAATCGCCCACACAATTTGGACACTCTTTCATCAACAGAGCTCTCAGTACCAACTCATCAAATTGGACGATTTTCGCCTGAGCAGGACATAAATTCAAATTCAAGCAAGGATGTAACCAGCCAATTACAGGGCCTTCCGTAGAAAACATGACCACCTGATGTGATGAGCTCGTGGGGGTTGCAGCAGTGCCTAGTGCCTGCTGCAACTGACGTTACCGGTCGCACGAGCCCAATTCGCGTGTGCGACTCTGTGCCTTTCACGCCTAAAGCCATGTCCGTCGGGTGCTCGGATGGAGGCGCCTCGGGCTGAACTGGCACAGTTTCTTGGTTTCACCAGTAAATGTCCCTTGTGCAGAAGCAATCGTGGGCAGCTGAGAGTGAATGCTTTGTGGGACCTACTTTAGGAGCTACTTGAGGACCTACTTGAGGACCCCAAAAGTCCCAAAGAGGGCTGGCCAACAGCAACCCTGTGCTCCACACTACAGCTACGGTTCTCGCACACAGGGACTTCCTTGTCGTCCGTTCCCTTTAAGAATGTATTAGGATCTTCGTTGAGTTTCTGCACCGCTAGAGGGTCCCCCATTGGTTCCCCAAACTAGACCATTTGCCAGCATACAAACACTCTTGGGGCTTGCCTTCTTTTGCAACCCAAGACAAAAGCCTATGGAGTCATCCCCAACACCCCGAAAAACTCCCACAACCTCCTGAAAGCCAAGGGAAGCACCCCCAAGGCCGCATGCTTGGGACAAACGAGTGGGGAGGTTCCCCCCCCCCCATAAAACCATAAAACGGGTCTGGGGTCCCGAGGCCTGGGGGCTGGAGGCGTCTCGGAGGCGGAGGTGCGGCAGGCGGCGAACGTCGGGAGCTTCGCCAAGGGCGAGGCCCTGCTCAAGGCGTCGCCTTCCGCGGTGCGGATCACCGGGTGCCAAGGCTAGCGACCGATTTCGGCACCCCCTTGTTTCCCCAAGGTTTGCATACCTCATGTGTTTGCTGTTTGCAGGGTAGCCCTTTGAAAGGGAGGCTAAAAAGAGAGCTCCTCTTCTTTTTTCTTTCTTTTTTTGGGGGGGGGGGGGCGGGTGTGCCCTTAGTTGGACACATACCCAGGGGTTGATGTGTCGATCTGTCGATGAGTTCCATTTGCTTGACTGCGCCAAAATGGCCTTACCTCTCCTTTCAAGAAGCACCCAGGATGGATACTTTTCCTTAGGCGAACATGGAAGCCACCAGATCTCCTAAGAGGAAAGTCCTCTACCCAAGGGTCTTGGATCACCGGTGACTTTCTGAGTCAAAGGCTCCCCCCGGAAAAGTTGAGCTACATATTGGGGTCGAAGCCCTGGTTCTTGAGAGGGGAGACCTGGTAGCTTCCACCAGGGCACCATGAGGGGTTGATGGGTTCAGTCTGTATTAAATATAATCCTATACCCAACCATGCACTTGGTGGTGGGTTTCTGGGCCATATTTGGGGGCAAATTACCGCAATCTCACAAGGGTTCGGGCTTGCGACCTCAGGCCCCGTGGTCAAAGAATCCCTTTCTTAAGATTCCGTATTTTCCGTTAGCGGGTTGTTATGATTTCATCCGAGCCGCAAACACGGCGACGGTTGGAGTCCCCAGATGTTATCTTGTGTCGCGGTTTTACACATCAACCCTGGGGCCAGTTTCAATTGAATATGCATTCTGCTTCAAAGAAACACATGACAATACAATTTGGTCAACACGCACCCTTGCAACTCTATAGATAAATAAATAACTCTATAGATAGATAAATAAGCAAATAAATGAATAAATATATATATATATATATAGTATAAACAAATAAATCAATAAATAAATAAATAAGCAATCAAGTATATATATATATATACCCGCAGCACTGTGGTCCGCCGGCGGCTCGGTGTACAGACGAACTTCGTGTGCTGCTGTCCACGTGCTTGGCTAGGGTGGTGTCCTATCTGGGGTGAGTGTGACTCAGCCGCATCCTGTTCCTGTCCTCCTTGCTTCCTAAGGTGTGGTGGGGTGCGTGTGCTGCTGTCCACATCCTTCGGTAGGGAGGTATTCTAGTCCGGGGTACGCGTGACTCAGTCACGTCCAGCCCATTTCTTGGTCGCCCTCTCCTTCTCCTCCTTGCTTTCTCTCCCTCTCGCTTGGTTATTGAGGCTTATTTGGTGAGGGGCACGAGTGATGCTGCACCTGACAGTTTGGACAAAATGGATCCGTGCCAGCCTCGCGTATGCCAGTCCTTGCTTCTTTGCGATTATTTTTCGAAGTGCACATGGCTATATTATATATGGCTTCCTCAGCGGACCGAATGTAGTTTTATCGGGCTCAACGCCCCTTGTGCCCTGAATGTTGCTTGTGTCTTCTTCTTGCTGTCTTGTTGCTGCTGTGTGCTGTGTACGTATTTGCGCTGCTTGCTCTGCCCTGCCGCTGTGTTGTGTGGCCCACGCCGGCTGTGCCTGCGCTCTTGCGCTGCTGCTCGTGTTCCGCGTGGCCTTCCATAGGCCCGTGTTGCACACGCGCGCGTTCTACTTGTCTGCGTGGCCTCCCTGGCCTCTCGGGCGTGATCCCACCCGAAGAGATTCAACTGGTCCAGGTTGTTTGAGCAGCCCCGTCTGACGAGCTCGGTATTCAGTGCGTGCGTATTCCGACCTTCATGTCTTGCTTTCCTTCGACTGCGTAGACGCGCTTTTTTTGTCCAGCAAGCTGCCTGGGTGGCAATTGGTCCTTGAGTGGGGCTGAACCCCTCCCCCGCCCACGAGCATGGCTGCATGTCCTGCCAGCTGCCGCCTTGCGTGCTTCGGCAGCTCAGGCTTGGTCTAGCGAAGCTGTGTTGCGCCATTTGGGTGCAGGTCCACATGCCCAGGCCTTTTTGTGCTGGAGGAGCGCTTTCTTGAAGGTCCAAGACTGTCTGAGCATCACAGGGTTGAGGCTACGCAGCTGAGCTGGATCTACCAACCAAGCGTACGTGCCCAGGTTGCGCCATATCGTTTACGCTATGGGAAGTTCTTCAACGCCTTGCTGATCCCGCAGCTTGACTCCTTCCGCAAGGCACGCAGTGTTCCGGACAGCGTTCGCGCTTCTCAAGGCCGTTTAGCCTCAAGCTGTCCCGAGAGGTCATCGTCGCATGGACACAGGGACACAGCGGGTACTTGGATGACTCTGACGACTATGGCAGCGGCGTCGGGACATACCTAACATCATACATGCAGTGGATGTGACGCCTTGCGCGACGCCCTCAATGCTTCGCCTGATGTGGGGCCCTTGGCTGTCTCGTCGCGCTGGCCCTCCGCCTTCTTGCCTCGTGGGGTTTGTCTGTGTGTGCGTTTGTTTTTCAGCCGAAACACCCATGTCCCTCTTCCCAGCCTGTAGTTGGTTCTTTCCAGTTCGTGTTGGCAAGGCCTTCCCTTATGCTTGCGTTGGGTTTGTCGCCAACTCACTGCGGCGGATCTTTGCCTTTTGGGTCTGACCTGGCCGTGCGAGTCACGCTCTTGCCACCGCCCTTCGTTTCTCCCCTGCCCAGGCATTGGAAGGAAACAAATTCTGGGACCTCCTTCTTGGATGCCATTCTCCTTTTCCGGCCACGCTGGCCGATGGAATGTGCAGTAGTTGAAGCGAGTCTGTGCTCGGGCCTTTGGCAGTTGCTTGCCGCATGCCCCCTGCTATGGTCAGGAGTCCTCTTTGGCGCATCCTGCCGAACTTATTGGATGATCTGCTCTTTGCGCTGAACTTTTTCTTCGCTGCCGAAGCTCTTTTCCACCTTCTTCGTGCGTGCAGGCCCTCAAAGTTTGCTCAGAAGAGCCTTGCAAAGGCAACCGAGCGTGTGACGAAGGTCCCAGCAGAAGATCAAAACAGAAGCCAGATTGTGAGAATTAAGCAGAACATGCTGGCGGAATTACGACGCGTGCTGGTGTTAAGTGCTGCTGCTCTGCGCCCAAAGCCAGGTGTAGACGCAGTGTTGAGCCAAGCACACGTGGCAGGCAAGGCGCGACTGTCTCTTGGAAAAGACATCTTGGACGTGAAAGGAAAGAGTCGCAACTGTCCGGCGCCCCTTCCGCCGATGGCGAACCATCCGTCTTGACTGTGCCGTGTATGTGTATATATTGTCTACACTACATAAGAGAGAGAGATAGATAGATATATATATATATATATGTTGTAGGTGGACACAGATTCATGCATCCAACCTTAAGCTGAGGCGTGACGGGGAGGCGCAGGTGCAGAGCGAGCGCGGCAGCCAGCACTACACGGTGCGCCTGGGGCGCTCCGGCGTGTCCGCGCCTAGGCAGATCCGGGGTCTGAATGCTCTTGTTTCATCATCCACCTCCATATGCTGGTTTAAAGGAGTCGCTTTTTGATTCTACATGTTGATGGGAGCCAGTTTTGTTTTCTCGCGGAAAGAATGCGCTTTGAAAGCAATGAGAGCTGAGCAAATGGTCTACGTCTTTGGGGACCTGCTTGCAACGTGGTTCGCATTGACGCGAAAACAGATCCCGGAAGAGGCCTTGAGCTTCGACAGCCTTGCAATTCCCAACGCCTGGTGCGGCATGATGTTGCTCGGACACTGGGTGCCAACTTGTTCCTTACTGGCACAAGTTATTTCCAGACTTAGCTGTGTTTTTGCTGGTTTGCCTTTTTTCGGGCTTCCTTGTTTTCATTTGACCAACAAAAGTTAGCTTTGTGGATGGCGTGTAAGTCTGGCACAAGTTATTTCAGCTGCTGTTTGAACATGCGCCGTGTGAGTGGTGATTGAACACGTTATAGTGTCTTCTTTTGGGGGACGTATGAACAGCTGACAGAAGATGCTTGGCCCTTGTTGCCTGCCATTGGTTTTTGGTGGGGAAGGCTGGGTGGGTCACGGCAACCTGTGCGGTATCCCTATTTTAAGACGCGCCAACATAGGAGGAACCTGGCCCCCAATCTTCCCATTGCGGTTGGCAGCCTCCTGATCCTCTAGTTTTGTGGTGGGCGCTCTCAACCCTGACAATCAGTCTAAAGGATAATAGGTTCCTTTCAAATAGGGGATTCTTCAACATGGGTGATTGATCTTTCCCAAGCAAAAACACTTGACAAGACACATTCAAAGAATGCAGGAACGTGCGCTCGGCTTTCCAAGTTTCTGTTGCTTCCAGTTTTATTGGTGTGCTTTCTAACAGTTACGGGGATGGTGTCGCCTTTTGAGAGCTCTTTCAGGTACGTGAGTTCACATGACGCGCCTGTGAAGCGTGGCACGGTCCCACTTGCCTGGGAAACCACTGCAGGGGCCGAAATTTAAAAACACACGTTGTGTGTCTAATTGGGATCGTAAGGAAATCATGTCAGGCGGATGACATGGATAATACGCCCCAAGTTGCCATGGGGTGAAACCTTACCAAGATGTCATTGTTCTTGGGCATGGGCATTCTTTTCTTTCAGGTCGGAACCTGCCTGCCAGGCTCAAAAGAACCACAAGCAATGTGGGCTTGAGCGAATGCCGGTGAACTCGAGCGGTGGGGCACCGAAATGGCTGGAATGAGTTGGACTGGCTTAGGAGCTATGGCCCGGGCTTAAGCGACAGTCGGCTGACGAGGCTGGGGACCAAGTCTATGAGTCTAAGGGTCAAGGCGGCTGAGCCGCAGCTACAGCCGTAGCAAGGGCCTAGGGCTTGAACCCTCTCGCGTGCATTTGAAGTCTAGGGATCTGACTGCTTTCCGGCAATGGCCGGAAAGAAACCAACGGAAACCACTGGAAACCACTGCACAAAGGAGGTTTTGAGTACTCAGGTTGCGGCGAAGTGCAGCTGTGTGGACAGTCGGACGCGCGGGGGTCTTTGCAAGCACGGGGTGGCGGTGGCCTTGCTCCTTGGCTCAACGTTTTGCTCGGCCCAAAACGAATCAATCCTTTGACCTATTCCCGAGTTGTCTTGCTTGACTCATGTTAGACATCTGCTGGTCCATGTTTCGGCTCCGTCTATTTTTGTCATTCTTGGCTGTTTTGATATGGGTCCTGGAGCTTAGATTCCCCAACTGAGCCAAAACCATTTTTGTTTTCCAAGGATAACTGGCTTTGAGCTCCTCCCCAAGTGTTTTTGTTCAATTGGAATTTACTGGTATTGAAACACATGCACGCCGCATGTCCCACGGGCCAAAAGCTGGTTATAGCGGTTGGCAGCCTTGTCGGAGCCACCTCATACTTTGTGGAGTAATTCACGACGCAAGAGGCAGCACCATTTAAAAGCATTGTCGAGTTTCAACTATCCAACACACAAACACCGACACCTGGGGCGGGGCAAGCTGATTCAACCTCCTAAGGCTATAGGTCGTCATTATCGGAAAATCATTAGTGACCAAGGTTGACTCCGAATTTAATCCGGACCTGAAGTGTGCTTTCCCCATCATTTGACTTTAAGCGAACCAAGGGTTTCGGATTGCGGCTGCATCCGTGATGTTTCTTTTCTGATTTGTTGGAGTCAATTTCTTGTTTCAGATTGGTGAATCATTATGATTATTCAGATTGGCAGCCGTTGGTTTGAACCTACATTGATCCAGGATCAATACACCCCGTCTTGATTGCAGGGGACGGTTTCCATTTCAAAGGGGATACATCACGTTTGGGGGAACACCCCCTGTTAATCTGCCAGTGTCCGTTACCAGGTTTGCATACAGGGCTGGGTGTCTTACAACGTCTAAGAACTTAACTGCGTTGTTTTGTTCACGGCGTTTCTTTGGGCAAAACCCAGCTTGCTATCAAATATCATAATCCTTCGATTTGGAGCTACCAAGCACCTCCAAAACCCAAGCTTTTCAATCAGGTCCCGATGAGACTTCGCTGAAGGGGCTCTACAATATGTGAGGGTTGATCAAAAACCAGCAGCGTCGGATGCCGGCAGCCTGACTGGAACCTGCCCAGAATCATCCTGGAACCTCCTCCAGCGCCCTCAACATCCCATACTGCTGTTCGGGGACAAAAGGTTCAGGGTCACTGTATCTCTAAGAGGGGTCCCTATATTTCCCTTGCAAGCTAGCTCAAACATCGCCCTGTCTCAATTGGGAGGCTCTTCCTGCAACATGGGCATCCGCTTCCAGTTCTGGAGACCGTTGCGAAGAACCCCCGGAAGCGGCCCATCGCGACGCCGCAGCGCGAGAAGTCCGAGGAGGTTGAGGAGTCGAAACGGGTTGCCGCATTGACCCAAATCGCTCCAAAAGGAGCTGAATAGTATGAAATACTTGCACACATTGTTCTGCCATGAAATCTAGGTGTGAAGCTTAGAGGACCCTTTGGCGAACATCATTTGGGAATGGTTCCCTTAAAAAAAACACCGAAGCGATTGGTTTTCAGGAGGCGCTGCCCGCGCTGAAAACCCCCAGCTTCCCAGCGGCCCCGGACGTGCAGAACCGCTTTGCCAAGAGCACCGCGGGTGAAGCGAAGGGCGGCCAATTCCAAATGGGGTACCCGGTCGGCATGTTGGGTGATTTCCCATCAGAAGGGTAATTTGAGGGTTCAGGTATGTGTCAAAACTGGGCCTGTTGGCGAATGGGCGGTTGGCTCCCTTTCAAAGGCATAGCAGAACTATGACGCACTGAAATGGCTCCCTCCTTGTGTTGTTCTTGGCCCGCAGTTTTGTCGTCAGAGGTTGGCTCCAGCGGTTCCCCCCAATAATAATTGCCGGCTTTAGTCAAGCAATTCCTGTGTTTTCATGACTGCTGCTTGGACAAATGGGTCCAATCAGGCCACAGGCTCTTTACACCAACATGAGGATGTTCAAATAACGGTGTGGGCTGGCTTTCAGGGATGGTTTGCACATGGGCAGGCCTGGATGGCCATACTAGGAAGCAACGCACGACATGCCAGCAAATTGGAGGTTTCCAAGCACGTGCCAGTTCGTAGATGGGATGTCTAAACAGCAGATGCTTAAACATCATCGAGCAGATGGTTGGACACTGTTCGCCTTGTCCCTAATTGTTACTTTGGGTTGCTAGTTTGGAGGTGAGGAAGAGCTAGAGGGCTTCAAATCCCCAGTTCCACCAATCCAAGCCACCTTGTATGCCAGTCACAAAGTCTGGCCTGGCAAAAGGAAAGGTGATATCTCTTGGCTGCAACTTTCAGGTGCCGTCAGGCGGCCCTTCTTCCTGCGCCAACTGCATTCTGCTGCGCTGGCAGGCAACTTGGAGTGGGGAGATCGGTGGCAGGTACGATGGGTTCTGATATGCATACGCACATATATATATATATATATATATGTATGTACACATTGGTTTTGAGGCTTCGCTTTCCAGGTTGGTTTTTTGACTCATTCCCACATTGCAAGTGACCCAACCGAGTCCAACCGCGGTGGGCTGCAGAGGAAACCCTTGTTTTCCTACAGTAACAATGCGGCGCAGCACCTGCAGTTTGTCCGGCTGAGAAGCGCGCAAAAGCCCTGTGCGTTTTATGGGGAGTTTACTGAGCCTTGGGAAAGCTTTATTCAGGGTCATTCGGTTTGAGGAGTCAAACGTGGAGTTTGAGCTGGTGGCGAGCTCAAACAAGAAAATTGCTTGTTGCGCCTGGAAAACTCACTTGCAAAGCCATCATCTTGGCGGTCAACAAATCTTTGACTTAGGATGACGGCCAAACAGAACTGGTGGATCTGACATTTCATCTGCTCCAGTTCGACCCATATAGATGGGGGCCATTGGAACTGGGAACTCATTTGGAAGCAAATTACTAGGCCTGGTGGGCGCACACGTGAAATCCCACAGGCCTCCTCAGCGGAACTTCTGGGATGCTTGTACGGCTTTCTGAAACAACGGTGATGTTGTGGCCAAGCTAGTAACCTTCCCGGGAGTCCTTGCCAGACTTGAGAAGGAGTTACAAGGAATACACCAACCAGCGTGGTTGAGACGCGGGAATTATCCCTCTTACCACCTTCCATACCAACACTATGTTGTGGCAATGACTGTAAATCCTCTCTGGTGCCGAACCGTAGGTGAACTTTGCGTGGCGGAAAATTGCATTTTCTTTCAGCAAAGCCTAACCAGTGCGATCCACAATTTGCACCACGCCCGTATGGGATAGTTTTTGCACAAAGCTCCTTGGTTGGACGGTATTGTGGAAGTGGGGTGGGAAATGCCAGCTCTGTGGAACCTCCAAAGAGTTGGCTCTTGCCACATCCACACACACAGCCTCGTTGCCACGGGACACATCAAAGATGATATGGATAGCAAAGATCAGTGGGTCCTTCAATGATTCAAGACTCTTGGGAGGCTTTTGGCATGCCTCTCTTGCCCACAGTTTGGTTTTCTGTGCGGGTGGACGCACAAGCAGGACTGCAGCGTCGTCCTGGCTGCGAATGTGTTTCCTCTCTCAATATCAGAGGACGCGTCCATCACGGGCCATTAGTTCCCTTTCGCAGGAGCACTGCAATCAACGTTCGCTCGTGTCCATGAGGTACAGACGTTCGTGCCAACATTGGTACTCTTTAAGTGCGCTTTTAGCCGTCTTCCAGGGCTATGTCAGGCCCGCAAAGCGCTGGTTTGTCGTCCCCCTCTTTTGAATAAGGAAGAACGCCACCAAACGAAGAGCGCTTTCAGCCTGGTGCGGCTTTCAGGTAACCACTTTCTGTGGTACCCTTGAAAAGTTTGTCTTGAAACATGACAACATCGTTATAGTTGCATGGGGGTATCGCAGTATCACAGAAAGAGACACGTATTCTTGTACAACCATGAAGAGCAGCGGTGATCTCCCAACTTCCGGGTTACCATACTGTATGCTTTGAGTAGTTTTCATCTCACGTATTGGAAAGGTCACCAACATCTGAGGGTTTCATCGAAAGTCCACCTTCACAAAACGGGCCGGCCATTCTCCACAAAAACCAAAAGCCGCCGAGGGATTCACTCCTTAGCCGATTGACATGGCAACCCGAACTGCATTTCGAGAGAAGTGCCCATTTTGGGCCTCTTTTGGGGGTTCCACATTTATGTGCGATCCATGAAAAAGTCCATCCACTTGCTTGCCGGGGCTAGTGTCGAGAGGCGACGATGTCGCTTTTGTGGCAGACCTCGAGCGGCTGAGCCTTGCCCGCATTGATGTGGCCTTTTTTTTTGGCGAGCTCACCTGGGGGCAAAAGGCAAAACACCGTGAAGGTCATTTACTGGGGGAGCTCCCTTCCTTCCAGCTTGCCCGGCCAAGAGGGAAAGCTGAATGAGGATGTTGTTGCAACAGTTGGTGAACTGGCTGGCTTTCAGGGATTCGCACAGGAGCCGGGAATGGCCATACACACCAAGCAATCTCAGCAAACCGGTTTTTGTACGGTTGGTTTCCTGTTCATCGCGAGCCAAGCCCAGGGATCTCAGTGAGCAGGAAGCTGCCGCGCTCCTGCACAAGGCTCGGCCGGCTTTGTGCCCGCTCACGGCCAAGCAGCTTTTGCCAGATCAATCTTCGCAACCGGGAAACGGGGGCCAAAAGAAAAGGTCCCATTTACAAGGGGAGGAGCTACCACAAAAACGTCCACCAAACAGGAGATCCATGTTTTTTTGGACAACCCTCAGAGAGGTCTCAACATGAGATGACCCGCCAATCAGGGGTCCCTCGCCAAAGGTGGCCTTTGTTTCATTGGAAGCACCAGTTTTGTTGGAAACACCATCTTCACAGCCCTGCTTGAGATGGGGGGGGAATCCACCTTCGGATGGGAAACCCAGTGACTACCATCCATGTAACATAGAGGGGTCTCTCATGTTGACACTGACACTGACAAACACACACACACACAGACAGACATGGCCAGACAGAGACAGAGACGGAGACTGAGACAAAGAGAGAGACACAGACACAGACAGACAAACGCAGACACAGACACAGACACAGCCACAGACACAGACACAGGCACAGGCACAGGCATAGGCACAGACACACAGACACACAGACACACAGACACACAGCCACACAGACACACAGACACACAGACACACAGGCACACAGACACACAGACACGCAGACACACAGACACACAGACACACAGACGCGCACACACACACACAGACGCGCACGCACACACACACAGACGCGCACGCACACACAGACGCGCACGCACACACACACACACAGACGCGCACGCACACACAGACGCGCACGCGCGCACAGACGCGCACGCACAAACGCACACACACGCACGCACCCACACACACACACACACACCCGCGCACGCACACACGCACACACGGCCGCACCCCCCCACACACACACACACACACACACACACACACACACACACACACACACACACACACACCCGCGCACGCACGCACGCACGCACGCGCGCACGCACGCACGCACGCACGCACGCACGCACACACACACCCACACACCCACCCACCCACCTACCCACGCACGCACGCACGCACGCACGCACGCACGCACGCATCCACACACACACACACCTACACACACGCCTACGCACACGCACACGCACACGCACACGCACGCGCGCACTTGCATGCACACGCACACGCACACGCGCACGTCCACGCGCACGGACACGCACACGCACACGCACACGCCCACGCGCACGCGCACGTGCACGCGCACGCGCACGCACGCACACGCACACACGCACCCACCCACACACACACACACACGCGCGCGCACGCACACACACACACACACACACACACACACACACACACACACACACACACACACACACACACACACACACACACACACACACACACACACACACACACACACACACACACACACACACACACACACACACACACGCACACACCCCTGCACCTGCCCCCACACACACCACACACACACGCAACGCACACACACACACGCCACCCCACACACACTACACACACACACACACACACACCGACACACACACACACACACACACGCATACGCACGCACGCACGCACACACGCGCACGCACACACCACGCACACACACACGCACGCACCGCACGCACGCACGCACGCACGCACACGCACGCAACACACACGCACACACACACACACACGCACACACACACCACACACACGCACACACACAGCACACACACACACACACACACTGCGCTTCACACACGCACACGCACACGCACACGCACACGCACACGCACACGCACACGCACACGCACACGCACACGCACACGCACACGCACACGCACACGCACACGCACACGCACACGCACACGCACACGCACACGCACACGCACACGCACACACGCGCACACGCGCTTGCACTTGCACACGCGCACACGCACGTGCACACGCACGCGCACACGCACACGCGCACGCACACGCGCACGCCCACGCGCACGCCCACGCGCACGCCCTTGCGCGCGCACGCACACACGCACGCGCACGCGCACGCACGCGCACGCACGCGCACGCGCACGCACACGCACACGCCCACGCGCACGCACACGCGCACGCACAGGCACACGCACAAATGCACGCACACGCACAAACGACACACTTCGTGTTGTTACAGTGTTGCTTTTGGTTGGTTTTAGCCACAGTGGTGTGTCCCTTGAAATTTGCAGTCCGACCAACTCATACAAATTCCCGGGAGGTGACGCCGCTTCTGGAAGGACTTTTGTCGTGAAGCAAACTGATAGAAGGCTTTGAACATTTGGTCACCCGAAACTGCAGTTCTCCAGTTTCGATTCGTAGCACGGGGGTTTTCAACCAACAAATGGATGGCTGGTGCTTAGCAGTCACGGAAACCCACTTGGATTCCTGTTTTGAGGGAGCACCTAGTCAGGGCCTGTCTATGTCTTTGTTCCCCAAGAACTCGACCGGACTTGGGGACCATCTTGGGCACACGCGGCAGGCCATCCTGGGCAAAGACCCCGCCGGCGCCGAGCGAACTGTGGCGGCACTGCTGAAGCGCCGCGAGGGGCGGGCGGCGGCGGCTGCAGGCCATGCGACAAATGGTGTGGGTTCCAAGTTCTTTGCTTCGGGTATCACAACTCCCCCACTCCTCGACCTTTTTGTCTCCCTCCAGCTCAAATTCACGTGCTTGTCAGATTTCGGTAGCCAAGTTTTCCAAACCTCTGAATGTAAACGCATGTCGTTTGAGAGGTCCCCAGCCCCTCCCATCTGCTTTCCCTTTTTGGGCGCGGGTTAAATGTCAGGCAATGCGTGTCAAAGTTGTCAATGAGACAATTGCCAACCATGCCTACATCATGCTGCCATGGTTTATCAAAAGCCTTGTATGCTTGGCCAACCATTTCTGGTGGCTGTCAATCCATGTTTCTAGGAGAGGGAAGCCAGAAGCAAGGAGCGAACGTGAAGTTTCACCGGCGCGGGAGCCTTGCTCAGCCTTGAGATGCTAAATCATGCGGCGATGGGCTCCAACATTTGCTCGCGCCCGTGCCGCGAAGTTTCAAGTTGCTTCTGTTTTGATTTCCCTTTCCAGCATCCATGGAGTCCCTTTTCTGTACCCGCTCCACTATCATGGAACCTGACAGGAGGTTCCTGGAGGCCAAGCTTTTGGTGCGGGTTCCATGTTCTGGGTGGGAGCCAATGTGAAGATCCGCGCAAACATCAGCCCCCGCAACACAGAAAGGTGGCCCATGTCTGCACGTCTCAAGTCATGCCCCCCTTGCCCAACCCCCAGGGGACCATTTCAAGCCCACTCGCATTGCCCAGCTCCACTCAGGGTTGCTTTCTGCTTTTTGAGAAGGATGTAGTGGATGTTGCTTGGCGTTGGGGCAGTATGATTGCCCACTTAAGCCTTCGCCTTTTCCAACTCCCCCCCGCTGTCCTCCCCACTCTCTTTCCCCTTTTGGCACAATGGGATGTTGGGTTCTGCTAGATCGGCCAGGTGTTTTCGATGACCTGCGCAGAACGCCGCTGCATGCAGCGGTGTCGGCCCACAGGCGCAAAGCTGCTTGTTCGCCCGTCCGTGTGCGCTAATGGGAAGCATCGCACTCAATCTTGTTATGGTTTTGCGAGTGATCGGTAGACAATGAATACGACTGGCCAACGATTAACATGACCGGCTAACGGTTGATATCGTATAGTGGCACAACGATGACGCACTATATGTTCCCTTTTTCAGTCAAAAAACAGGGGGACTGCAGAGTTGAACTGCTAGTGAGTTGTTAAGCTTGTCAGTCGCTTATTTGTGAAAACGTCGAATCTGTGAAGTGCTTGGTGAATCAGGTAGGTTTCCCTTTGAACTCACCAAACAAGGATACCATGTCGTCAAAATTTCAGTAATTCCAAAAGGACAGGTGGTGTGGTGTTGCTTCACTTTTTCCACCACCAACGGGTTCCTATTTTTGACACACACACACACACAGAGAGAGAGAGAGAGAGAGCCACATGTTTGTGCCAAGGGAAGATAAGCTCCCACTACATGGGCACAATGCATTGTGGCTGGTGCGTGGCCCATCATTTTTGGGTGGGTGAGATGTTTGTTTGTTGCCCGCAAACCATTGGGTTCAGTTGTGAGCAGTTTTGCATAGCATCAATCACGGTTTCAGGGTAGAGGTCATAGGTCTGCTTCGGGGTATCTTGAAGGACTCCTGACAGTTTCCTCACAAAGTAGCAATCAGTTTGTTGCAGGAGGTCAAAGACCCGCCTCTTGCCTTTAGCAACTGGCAAAGTCACAGCGAGGGGAAAGGGCCATGATTGTCGGCAGTTTGTCCTCTACCCTCGAGTCACAGTCTGGCATATCCTCCCTCAAACGAGAAGTGGACAGACTCTCGTCCAAACTATCCAAACTGAAGGTAGTCTCCAAAGGAGTCAGCGCGCCATGTGTATTGGTAGGAGGGCAGATTGCGGGAGCCTTTCTTCGAGAAGATCTGATGCTTACCATCCCATGGACCTCTTTCAGAAGGTCTACTTCATAGATCCCCAAGTAATGTTTGACTTTGGCACAGACCTTCGGAGATTTGGAGCTGGAGGCTGGGCATGTGCCGCGCCCTGTTGGCCGCGAACGCGGACCCAAACATGGAGAACGGGAACGGCCTCAACGCGCTGGACCTGGCGCGGCGCCGGAAGCTGGACACCTCAGGCGCTTTCCCCCCGAGTTTTTCGCAAGTCATTTAAACCGGGGAACGGTTCAAAGAAGCTGGTTTCCCTTTGGCTTCCCTTTAAACATCTTTAAGCCCCAAAAGGGTCAACGAAAACAACTCCCATTTTCCAGATCCCGACCTCAAAAGGCATCCTTGCTTCCCATGAAGGGATTCCAGGCTCTATCAACCCATGCTTGAATGGGAAAGAGGGTGGCTGGGAGTCAGGTTGGGCCAAGCCCTTGTTTAAACATGTTCAAATAGCAACCTATTGGTTTGCCTTCAAAGGAGATCGCATCGATTTGGGTGGAGCGCGGAGATAGGGCAGTGCCTGCCCAAACCAAACTAAGCTTTTGACCTGATTGTCTGCTTTTGGGCTATTTTGGATCATGGACCGAAGCACCGTTTTTGCAGAGCTTCGCTCGTTAGGATTACGCTTACGGGTTTGTTAGTCGGCAGTTGGCAAGAATTGGTAGATGCAGCAGAATGGGTGGTTCTCAGATAGGCTTCAAGTCACCGTCGACTCGGATTTCAAATGCGGCCATGGAACGTAAAAGCCAGTGTGTCCAACAAGAGTCCGTCAATTTCCATGTTTGTTGACCTGGCGCACGTGGAAGTAACTCATTGGGTTCTCCAGTGAATCCAGTTCCCCTACAGGTATGCAAGGCAAAAACAACATGCGTGCGTTCGTGCGGACGGGCGTGGGTGATTGTGTGAGTGTGTTTCAAAGACTGCCCAGAAGGGAAACGAAAAGGAGAGCAATCATTTTGTGGGTGCTCCTATTTTGACACATACACGGAGAACTGTAGGCGCGTGAGGTGCCCCTTTTTAGAGTCTGAGGGCAACCCCAAAGTGGAACACCTATTCGGGGGGTCCATTTGGAGACAAGCCGGAGGTCCTGGAATGGATGGATTGTATAAAACGAGTTGATTCGGCACAACTTTTGAAGGAAGCCCCAAAAAGTTGGCACGGCGAAAAAGCTGCTTGGGGGATATCAAGGCCTAGATCAAGCGTCTTAGGATCCCAACCCAAACCTGTGCTTTTGGCAGAACAGTCCATCCCTTTTTCTTGAGTATCTTTCATGGAGGGAGTCGTTTAAACAACCAACCCCTGGCCCCATTTGAAGGATACTTTATCAAGATACCAAAGGGCTGTTCAAAGGGGAGTGATTCATGTTCAAGCAAGGGCTCGGCCCAAGACTGATTCCCAGCTCCCCCTTTCCTATTAACCACAAGGACCATAAGTTTGTGAAGCCTGGGTTCCCATCCATTGGACACAGGGGACTGGCGAAGCTCCGACCCGGTGCAGGACGCTGGTGTAGCGTGTGTGTGTGTGTGTGTGTGTGTGTGTGTGTGTGTGTGTGTGTGTGGTTTTTGGCTCGGTGGCCTGTTCAGCAAAGGGTTCAAGGCACACCAACCAGGAATTTTGATACATATCCAAAATTACTCCAGTGCAACTTAACATGAACAAATGACAATATGATTGGTAGGCTACTGTCGGTTTGGGGACGACATGGGGGACAACCCAAGTTTCCCACAAAGCAGGAGGACAGCCCAAGTTTCCATGTCCTTTCAAAACAAACAATATCGTCTGTGGGTGACTCACAGTGGGCGACACAAGCACAATATGTTCAATGGAATCTTCTTCTGGGTTGAACCCCCCTTTGTGGGGTTTCGTTCTAAATTGCAGGCAGCAGCACTTTGGGTTTCAAGTTGGCTTTCTGGCGCTCAAGCACCAAAGGGTGTGACATGGTTCTTGAACCATGAAGTCATCTACTCCGTTTTAATCACATCAATGCACGCGGAGCCCTTGTTTTGCAGTGCAACAGCTTCCCAATCAAGTTCAGGTTCATTGGGTCACAAAGACCCCCCCTCAAACTTCCAATTTTGAGCAAGTCTCGTCTTCCGAAGAGTTTTTGCAACCAGGAGCTCCTGAGGCAGGTGATGGCCGGAGAGAATTGAGCAGATTGATTCAGCTGGCTGGGGCGAAGAGAAGGTGGGAACTAAGTCGCCATAGAGGTCCTTTTCAGGTCAAGTCGGTTGAAATTGCATTGATTTCGCTGGAATCAATTTGGTTCAAACATTTTCCAGTGCCATCTATGTTTCCAAAAGCACATCCAGCTTAGTCCCCCCCTTTCCTGTGATGACATACCTGATGTTTGCAAAATGTGTCTGCATAAATTATGAAAATTATGACGAGTCGCGGCCCACAGGACAAGGAGGGCAGTTTTTTTCGGTTTTGGTTTGGGGTGGTTAGGGTTTAGGTGCAGGATGTAGGGTGTTGAGGGTTTAGGTTTAGGGCTTGTAGGATGTCGGGTTTTTAGGGTTTATAATCAGGAGGTTGAGGTTTAGGCTTTGGGTTTTGGGAGTTAAGTAAGGCTTAGGCTTTCAAGTGCAACGCGGAAAGACAAGGTCTGCCTCAAGCACGAATATATCGCATAAGGTTCTCTCCAAACGGAGTTGACAAGTTGGGATTTGGACAGTGGTCGGAGCTTAGCCCTCCAAAGCCCCAAATCACTGGCCCTTGGTGAAGCGCACTTCCGACTAGGCCGTCTGAGGGGTGTTGGGGCAGATCACTGGGTTGGCCGTAATTATAGCGAGCTCACCTGTACTGGCGGGTAAAACACATATCCATGAAGAAGGCCCCTTGCTGAGGGATTCAATCATTCAGGTTGCTGAAAAATAGCCGTTGGTGCAGATGAGCAGCGTTCAAAACCCCGATGAAAGAAGTTAGTAAAGGTGTTGTCCTGCAAGTTGCTGCGCGAAACGAACACGCAGGGCATCACAGGGCCGCGAAAGCTTCACGAAGGGGACACGAGGAATCATTTTCGCGAAAGGGGCCGCAAAAGATTTTGAACACTGGGTTGCTTTCTGAATCGTCTACGAAAGCTCCGCGAAAGGGTGCGCTCCGCGAAAGGAGCACTTTGAAGTGCGCCAGATTTGCGAAAGGCCGCAAAAGGGTTCGCGAAGGCAGACATGGGATATAACATCGTGCAACCCAGGTTTTCGCTCAGATGTGCCTGTGCGCTTTCTGTGACGTGTGACAGAATGAAGCCTGGGCTCCATGGGGTGAACAGGGGTGCAAAGAAGCAGTTCCTACTTTGGAAGCAAGGTGCTCTGTCATTCAAAGGATGCAGATGTCTTTTGGCTTGATCTTTAGCCTTTTCACTTGTTGGAGAATGATCCCAGCGACGAGTTTAGCCTTCTGCAGGGGGGAAAATGAAGACCAAACCCGAGGAAAGCAAGAGGGCCCAGCCGCGCAGGGGTAAGATCCCGAAGATGTACAGCTGCGTGCGTTGCAATAGATGCAGCACGTGTGGGGGAGGGTTGGCAGAAGGCGGGTCGACAGTGTCAGAGCCTGGGCAACAGCTTTCAGGATTCAGGGTTGAAACCAACTGCCACTGCTACAATACTTAGAGTTAGCCCCTTTGGCTGCTTACCAAGTATTTCGGCAACTCTCACGTTTCATCAGTTGGGCATTGCCGGTGTTGCTCTACGTTTCGCAGCGGCATGTGCTCTCCTCAGGCACCCGGGCTACTTAGATCGAGACCCAAGACCGGGCCAGGGTAAATTTGGTTGAAGCAATGGATTCCCATGGACTCCCCCAAAAAAAGCCGAAGCTGGTTCGAGTGGTTCAACATGTCGCAGGTGGCAGCAAAACTTAGCTAAAAGCCCAGATTTCCTGCTCGACTCGTTGGTTTCTCTGCTTCGAGTGCGTAGAAGGCTTGGGGATGGGATTGGGCCTTCGCAAGACGCAAAAAGGATGAAACGGGTGAGCAGAGTGCGGAGATCGGTCGGCGCAGGGTCGGAGACACGGCAATTGACTAGGAACGGGCCAGACGGACGTGGGCCAACTAAGTTGTACCGAGGGGCCGACTCCCAAAGTGGACACCACCTATTAAATGGAATCGCTGACAATTATGTTGCCCAGAAAGAAGTACTGACTCTAACTCTCACTGCATTTGGATGGTGGATCTATTTCCTTGAGATGGGGTTCAACTACAAGATGGTGCAGCGAATCCGTGATTTGACAGAAGTGGCACTCGCTTGAGACGGTTCGTTTGTGGTATCCAAGTGGTGAAGAGGAGCAAGTGCAAACATTGCTAAGCATGATGATTTGACAAACCGACAAGACCCTTTCAGATTTCCATTTTTTCCAGACGGGTGCTCAAAAATGGCACTGGAAGCACCTCGTTTTGCCAAACCACTGTATGCCAGAATGCCATGCACTTGTCTCATGTTTCACCTTTGAAACCTATGGGGGTCAAGGTTCTTTTGGTTGAACCGTTCAGTGCGAGTTTCCTTTCGGTGGGGTGAAGGATAGAAAGATAGGTGTGTTTTGTTAGGTGGGCACAGACAGATCAGCTCCACATGCGCCAGCTTGCGTTCCCGCAGAGGTCTTCTGCTGGGCCGTGCTGCTGTTGAAGGGACCTCTTTCCAACAATCATGGAACACGGGGATGGTTTTGGAAGACTACCATCGCTTGAAAAGGCCCCTTGTTCTCTTCCACAAATTGTTGGAAACATGTGTTTGTAGCAGTTGAAGAGTAAGCCCGCCATGGCCTCACAGAGCTCCTTTTAGTTCCCGTTGGTCTTCTTCCTGGGGCTGATTTTCGGCTGATTGTGCTCTAGATCTTTGGGCAACTGTTGGATTTGTATCGGGCCTTCGACAGGATTTGCTTTTGTTGCTCTTGGTGTTAGCTTTGGCCCTTAAACAAACTACGTAAGGAAGGATCACCGGGGCCAGAGATGCGAGTTCTCGCTGGAAGGGTCACCTGGACAAGCTGGATGAGGCCACAGGAGGGTGCGTTGGCCGAATTTCCAGTCTTCTTTGTGCATGAACCCTCAAATTACCCTTGAAAGGCGGACATCACCCCCGAAATGGGGCGATATCTCATTTCAAACCTCGTTAAGGGTGCTTGCTTGGCATGTACACAGGCTAATTTGTTTGGGGTTGGGAACATGGAAGAGCCACAACGTTTCCACCACAGACACCAGACGGAAGCCAATGTTCACATGCCAGTTAGAGGAAGCGCATAGTTTCCAGGGGAATCACGGGGCCTATGGTAGTGCTCACATACTGTATATGTCTTCCTCGTCAGGCCAATCCCGATAGACGGCTAATATACATATATATCGATCTGTGGCGGGGTGGGGTAGCATGTACATTCATGTGAGAAGATGCGGAATTGTGGGGAGGTAAGAGCTAGCGCGACATCATCATTTGCGAAACCAGGTCGGAACAGTTTGCCACTTTCTGTTGCCGATTTTGTCACGACAAGTTTGATGGAACAAAGCCAGGCAGCCCTCGCGGGTTGCTACAGCAACTTTTCTGAGGTGTGCTATTCCCTTTTTGGAGGAATTCCATGTTTCGAAATCGGTTAGTTTTGCTCATTGTGAATGCGAGGTTGGTAGTCATAAGCAAATGATTTGGCTTGGGGCAATGTGCCGGGAACTCACGTCCCTGCGGGTGTCCTTTTGCTTCCCTGTTCTCCTTTGGGACCGAACACCAGGCCAAGGGTTTTCGGCGAGAAGTTGATGGCCGACAGGATGCCCCGAACGCAAAGGACAGCCCAGATCGTTTCTATTGGAAGACCGCGAAAACGAACCACATCAATGTCAAGGAATCTCGCGGGGAAAGGATGCCCCTTTTCTGAACATATGTCTCGAGCAACACAGGGATGGTGTTTAAAGGGAATCTGGCTCACCAATTTTAGAACCCACATGTTTCATGGCAGGGCCTTACAAATCCCCAAACCCATGTGCACCATTGCCTCGCCTGGTAGGGTAGTCGGATTGTTTGCCTGTTCCATTTGGATTTGACCAACGCACATGTCCTGCAGCAGAGCTGGTCTTGCAAAAAACAGAAGTTGTCTGAGTGTCGGAGGGGAGGCCTCAAACATGAAAGTGTTTTTCGATGGTGCCGTTTGTGTGATTGGTTGAAAAGGAAGGCCATGAGACTTGAAGTGATGGGACATGTGTGAAATGGCCAGTTTGGCACACCCCTGCGTTTTCCTTTGTTTGCAAAAGGGTGCCCGCGGGGTAAATCCATTCTCATTTTGGTAGAAGGTGAGCCCGTTTTCCACAATGCCTCAAAGGCTTGGCATGTTCGCATGGCTCAAACCTCGCAGCTCGGCAAGATGCTGGGAGCACTGTGATCAGGTCTGCTTGGGTCCAGCTGTCAAGACGACCGCGGGTCCAAGCATAAAGATGAGCGCCATGTGCCTTTTGGTGCTTTCAGCCGTGCAACTGGTGTATGGGGACGGACCGAGTATCACCACCGACTCCACCACCACCTCAACCACGAGCACCACGAATCCCTCATTCACCCTGTCGATGGTCTGCAGCGAGTGCGACTGCCCTGACGATGGCTGGAAAGGGGTCATGACGCTGGAGAGTTGCGGGGATCTCTGTTACTCGGAGAACGCCGAGTTCTTGAAGCATGCCAGCGGCACCCGCTGGGACACTCAACACAGCTTCGGCCGTTTTTTGTATATATGGCAGTCTCAAAAAGTAAGACTCCCTAGAATTGTCTTGGTTTGAGCTATAGCAACCCTGGATATCGACTCGCGTTTATTTTTTGCGTTCCTTTGGTTCTCTGCCAGAAGGGCTTGCCGCCCTTGTCTATTACCTTTTTTTGTCTGTTTGAGGACGGTACGACTGGGGACAACAATTGTGCGTGCTGCACTGGCGCCAAGAACAACGACGTGGACGGCGGCTGGGGCATCCGAGTCTACAGCATCAACCGCGTGGGCGCAACCAGCGCAGCAGGCACGCTGTTGCCTCGCTGGGTGCCCTGGATGCTGTTGCTCGCCTGGGTGAACTGAGCAGAGCCCAAGCCCATTTGTCAAGTCCATTTTAGCAGATTTTAGTAGATTGCTCCACTAGTACTATTTACCTCTGTAAAGGAAAATCTTATAGCCAGCTTGCAAGAACCAAGAGGTGATAGGAATTTGGGAGCCATGAAAAAGATCCCCAAAGAGGAAGCTGGGTGACCAAAGAAGTCTGAGCCATTCCCTAGCACGCGAGCGCAAAAAGAGCGAGAACTGGAGACGTGTGCAGTGAGCGCTGATTGGGGGTAAAACGGACTCCGCAGGATGAAGGTTCATTGTTTGGGGATTGCTTATTTCAGATAGGTTTATGCGTCGTTTGCATAGCAAGATGCTTGCACCAAGCTAGAACGAGGGCTGCTCATTTTGGGCTACCCCGCATGCACGGATTTCTTGAGCAGGCTCCCTAAGCAAGCCTGAAGCGGGGCAGCCTTTGCCATCCTTTTGGCCTTTTGGGTATCTTTTCTATGGTTGAGGGGTCAACTGCTGACATGAAAACCCAAGAGTTCACGCAAGCTACGGGCAGGGGCTCCCAGGGTGCATCCTTTCCTTCAGAGTTTTCTCGTTTACCAACGGCATACGGCATGTTCCCTTCAATTTTTACATCCTTGGTTGTGCCAGCGCCGCTTTCGGTTTCCTGTCTCACATTGGAGCCACTTCAGCCAAATGTATCGTTTCAGGGTTCGAGTGAGCTCCGATTGAATAGCCCCCCAACGATTGTCAGGGATCTTCCCGTTCAGGGGTAATAAGAACAAGCAATTTCCCAGTTACCGAGGCGTTGTTCAGCACCCATGTCCGCTTGTGATCACTCACAATGGACTCCAAGTTGAGTTGCCAGGGTCACTGGGCACTGGGCAGTGTGGCACGCTCACAAAGAAACCGAACAAGAAGGTGTCCAGTTTTCGAGTTTCACCGAGTGTCTCCATGTTTGCTTTGCTCAGGAAATGCTACCTGGAACCTGGGTTTCATGGAGGTCTACAAGTCTATACCTCTTTGCAAAGGTTGTAATTCTGGAGCAAGATGACATCTTGGCAGAGCAAAGTCAATACGTGTTGGGCGCTGTCCAATGGTTCGTGGCTCACATGGCGGGCTGGTGTTGGGCCCTCTTTAAACAAGGACACGTCCTCAAAAACAGTGGATGGGCCAAATCCTGCACCAGCTGGTAGGTGGTTTGTCCATACAGGGTTCATCCCGACTGGTGCCGATCGGCGTGGATTTTGCCCATCAGCGGAGCTTTCGTTTCGTTTCCCGGAAGGTGGGTGCCTTGCGCCGCGGCTTGGCGGCGGTGGCCGAGGTGGTGGAGGAGGCGGCCGGGTCCGACATCGGTTTCAACACCGTTGGCCATTGAGCAGCTGGACTTTTTGTCGGGTGCATGGGGTTGAATGAGAAACTTATTGGGTTGGGAGAATATAGGACTCACAGGGGGCAATGAGGAATTCATTGGGGGTTGAAGGGGCATTCAAAGGGGATCAATGCGGGATTGATTGAAAGGGGGCTAATGAGCGATTCACAGAGTGGGGCATTTGTATATAGCGGGTGATGGGGGGGGGGGCCTTGCAGGTGCTCTGCAACTTCACATCCTTGCCAAAGGCTCTTGTCAAGGGCTTCGGAGGGAATCTTGTAGATGTTTCATGCAAATAGAGTATCAGAAGATCCATCAGCCACAATGTCAGTTACAATAGAGGGTGCCTAATCTTCGATTTGTCCATCGGTTGGGCACATGGGCGCCATTTGCCCAAGGTGCCGTTTGCCACGTGAGCCTACGAGCCTTCGCCTTCGTTTTGCCAGGTCCGGGCATCCTGGAAGCGCGAGGCGGTGGTACCCGGAAGAGTTGGGCAGAAAGACCACTGGTGAAGAATTCGAGTCACTAAAGGGGGGACCACCCCTGATTGGTGTAGCGGTCGCTCTGGGCACCTGTCTTGGCCTTCAAGCTGTCCATGGAGTCTCCAAGGTTGATATGAACATATGCCCCTGAAATGGGGCCGGGCTCCAGAGCGGTTCCCTTTGATACCCCCAAATGAGAGCTCGCTCCACAAAAAAAAAAAACACGCATGGACATGGGTCGAAATCGCTGCAGCGCAAAGCATTATGAGTTGCTCACCGTTGGGCGTGCCAAATGATTATAAGCAAAAACACCATCTGCGGGGAGACACACTGGTCGGGGCATGAGGCTCGGCTTTGCAGCCCGTGGTCACCTATCAAGGGAACCCCTTTTCGGCGACAAAGTATAGGGATTAGAATCGCACTCAACGATATTGCAGAAAAGCAAAGAGGTCTGATAGTCAAAGCGGTTCAAATCCGTCGGATCCTGGATCAAGAAGCCAGATACAAGGCAACAAGGATCATGCTGGAGCAGAGCCTCTTTTTGGTAAATCAGCTGCTGCGTTTTCTAGAAGTGATCGATCCATGCCTTTGAAGAACTGTCTTGAAGAGATCAGAGATGGCGCCGGCAGACCATGTGGGGGAATATAGTTTGAAAAGCAGAAGGGCAGGCAAAGCTTTTCGGGTCAAGACAGCCGGTTTCGCACTGAGTTCTTCCTAAGTCCATCCTCCCTGGAAGCCGATCCAGCTGTTCACTGCTTTGGACGCGATGTGTACTTTGTTGTTCAAGCAGCTGTTTCTTTGTTGGTTCAGGTTGAGTAGGCCTAAGAACAATCCGTTTGACATGCCCGCGGTTCATATTTCAGGCGCACACACACACACACACACCTTTCGACAGCATTCGCTGTTACCGTGAATGCGGAGCCGCGCCCTGCGCACCTCACGCGTGCTGATGGCGCCCCGAGTGGAGCTTTACACGGCGTATGCGGCTTGGAAGCTAACCCAGCCTCAAGGCGGTGAACAGTAAGGTCCTTTTTAAGATACCTTACCCTGTGCATTCCAGTTCCCCCTGTAGTGGGTCGCCAGTCATTGTCATTTGTTTGTTTCAAAGTGTTGTTCCCTTGCTTGCCTGCTATCTCACATTGAACTAAGTACATTGTACTTTTCTTGTTCCCCCTCAGGAAAGCATTTGAATACTCTTCAGTATTCCATTGGCTGAGCAACCGCCGCCTTTAGCTGGGAAACAGACCATCCCTAGTGGCACCTACCTCCGGGGTAGTCAAACAATGAAAATTTGGTTGGTGTAGCTGGGAGGCGTCTCATGGCGGTGATCCGTTGGACCAAGGAATGTTTCTCTGTTAAAATTGATACCCCTTTTCGGGTTGGCTTTACAGGGACACCAAAGCAAACACCCGGCCCCAATTGGAGGTCCTGCCACCTGCCGTAATTTGTTCTTAAGCCAATGAACTGGCGGGTGTGCCGATCATTTCTCCAAAGCAAGGCAACAGCCTGTGAAGCATCGTGAACGCAGGAACCTGCCAAAGCAAACATGCCACACTTCAGGTACTCTGGCATGGTTCAGCTGAAACCACGGAGTTTTAATCCTTGCCAGGTTTGTGTTGGCCAACAGGACCTGGGGTTTGTCTCATAGTGGCAGCAGTGACAAACTGAGGGACCAAAGTCCTCTTTCCGGGTGCCTTACCCCCGTATCCCAAAAGCGGCCGAAACTTGTCTTTGGGCTTACGAAGGGAGTGCTGATTCCCATAGCTAGGTAGGGCTGACCAGCTTCACAGCCCACTTTGCAATATCCAATGCTTGTGATGAGTTTCTATATTTCCAGTTTTGCATGGAAATGGTCGCGATTTGTCAAGAGGAAGTCGTCCCAACGCATGGTGGGGTTCTTTGTCGAGCCATTCTGCTCATCCGCTCAGCGGAGAACCCAAGGAGCTGTCGCCGCTGCAACAGAAGGTGCGAGAGGCCATTCGGGCATCCAATGATCTCATGCGAAGCGACCCCGGGGGGGGGGGGATTGGAGTGCTGGGGTAAGTCCTTTAACCCGGAGCTATTTTCCCAAATTAAGTGGTCAGACCAGCAAGCTCTGTGGTAAGCCCAGTGGGTTTGGAGTATGTTAGGAGTAATTATGAGTTCTCTTCGTGAGGCGTCGACACCGAAGGGTAAGGGGCACCACGACAGTTGGCGGCTGCAAAGCATGTCCTGGTGGTGGAGGTTTTGGAGCAACTCAATGAGGGGTGACTTCGTCGGCCAAAGCAATCGAGAAGGCGATGGACCGCGTCCAAGGGGCTAGAGCAGTGTGCCTTTGGCAAAATCACTCCTTCAACCAGAAGATGGCCACACTGCACTCTGGCAGTCCACCAAAGGTGGTCCACCTGCTGGCCTTCCTCCTTGAGGATCTCTTCACCATTACAGTTCTCGCCGTGCTTGTCGAAAAGACCTTGGTGCGGTTGCGGGAGACAGGCATTGGGGCTGAGTCTGGGGCTGGGGTTGGGGAAAGGCGCAGGAATTAGGGCTCGCCAGCACAAGCTTTGAGCACGTGACATCTTGGGGATGAGGGTTGGGAAGATCCCTGTGATCTCACCACTTCCCGGCTTGAGGTGAGGGCATCGCAAGGCAAACTTTTGGCCAAATGCCATGCCCCATTGTGTCTTCAGTGATCGAGGCCTCAAGTGCGTCGAATTGGTAATCCCTTGCAAGTCACTTCAAACGTCATCATTGTTCGGGCCAAGGTTGGGCGAGAAACTTCTTTGGGCGGAGTCGATGTTTTGCGGAAAGTATGTGTGGTGTTGTGTGGTATGTCGTGTTTGTTTTGTTTTGCTCCAAAAGACGGCGGGGAAACCGGCAGGCCAACCAGAAGGGCACCTACGGACCCGCCAGTGGCCGAGAAGGGACAATCGGGGATGAAAAGTGGGTCCGTTGACATATGCTGAAGCAGCATATGAGTCTCTGCCAATATCATCGCTGGTCTGCTGCTATGAGTGCAACCATGGCAACCCAAATTGCACACCAAATCCGGCGGGACAACCATTTTTCCCATATGCTAAATACATTCAATGTGTATTATCCTTTAATCAACCAGCAAAGAATCCGCCAGGGATGCATACGCTTTCTTGTCCCCACACCTCCATTGAACATTCAGGAAAGTAAACAGCAGGGTTCTCAACCAAATCTTTGGTTTGCTTTCTTTTGAACAGCATGTTCAGAGTGATTTTGAGCTTTTTTTCACGATGAAGAGCCAGTCTCAGGCTTGGCAAAGCTCGGTGCAAAGAAATTCTACCCATGAAGCTTTAAGGATCTTTTGGGGATCCTGTACGAATAGGGGCCGGGACGCCTCACATCGCGGATAAGTTAAGTTTTCAACAGTATCCTTTCGGAGTAGGGTTAGGATTTAGTGAATTTAGTGCTTCCGCTTCAGAAAAGTACAGGGAAGCTCTTTTACTGAGGAACCTGGGGTGAGTGACTCTTGCTGACGCCTGGTGGGTTGGGCCAACCCCCTCTTCGTTACCGTCTGAAGGGATACCATAATTTTGAGACTTGTTGCCCAGCCCGTTTTGACCAGAGCAAAACAGAGATCACCATTTTGGTGTATCGGTTCAATTGGACAATCCACGAAACCCAGATGATATGCAAGCCAAGGACAAGCCCCTACAAAGCAGCCTCCCTTGGAGGTCCATGAGTTGGGTTACGTGGCATGTACTGTACGCCCAGGGTTTTCTGGTGTTAATTTTATTTTTTTCCCGCAGCCATTTAGAGGCAGCCATTTAGAGGGTGATTTTGAGTGGAGTCCGGTTCCCGACTGCAAATTGTCACCTCCGAGAGTCAACCCCCAATAGTCCAACCCAAGGATTTGCAAGTGATCAAGCCCAAAGCGGAATGGCGTTCCAGGTGCCCAAGCGCTGCGTGGTTACCGGGGGCCTGGGCTTCGTTGGCCAACGCCTCGTGGAGAGCCTGGTAGAGCGGGGTGCCGAGCAGGCGCCGGGGACAGGTGAGGAGCCCAGGTTGTTTTCTTCCGGGGGCTTGGGCTTGGTTTTGGTTTGTGTTGATTTTGTTTTGGTGTTGTGTTGTTGTTGTTTTGCTGTAGGTTCTTGCGTTGTTTGGTGTTGCTTTGGGCTGGTTTGTGTCGCTCCATTAGATGTTGTTCTGGTTTAGAGCTTGGATTCTCAAATTATATTTGATGGTTTGGTAGGGTCTGTTTGGGTGTCTGTTGTTTTGGTTTGGTTCCGCTTTGTTTTGGTTTAATGTTGGTTTGTGTTGTTTTGATTCGGTTTGGTTTCCTTTGTGTTGCATTGCCATGTGTTTGTTGTTTTGCTGTCTCGGTTTGTGTTGGTCTCATTTGGTTTGCGTTGGCTTAGTGTGATTTGTTCTGCATTGTTTTGTTTAGTTTGTTTGGCTTGGTGCTGTTTCAGCGCTGCAATGTGATGACGTAAAGCTAGATGTCAGGCTGCTTTCACCTGCCTAGCCAGTTTCTTGAACGTCTTGTTAACTTTCGGCTCATGAGTTCTGAAGGCGGCTGCTGGTCTGAGAAACACGCCCCGTACGGATGGGAAGATATCAATATGGGACCCTGCCTACCGTTTGGCTGGTTTTGACATGAGCAACGAAGAACTGGAGTATCCGAATTTGATTGGTCCCTCGACTTTGCCGCTTGTCGTGTATCGCTCTCTACTGGCCCGCGCCTTCTTGATGGAAATATGGTCGAGCATTCACATGGCGCTTACTGCTTATACACCCCGTCGGTTGGCACCCCCAGTTCAAGAATCATTCATGTACATATGCGTATTGCGTATATATTCAATGTATAGATGGTTGTGACAGGTAGGGGCACATGCTTGTTTCCCTTGGGACGGGGCCCGGGCCTGGGAGGTGGTTTCCTTCGACATCGTCCCGCCGCCGGCCAACGTTTGGAAGCACGAGGACCATGTACCGTGCTTCACGGCTGTTCTTGCAATGTGCCTCATTGCAGATGTTGAAAGCAGAATCCTCATCCCGCACCAATAGCAGCCACCGACGCATACAGGCGATTAAGTACATCACTGGTGACTTGTGCGACCTCGAAGCCGTCGTAGAAGCGACCAAAGGTGCGGCTGCGATTACGTTGCATGGCTTGCGGTGCATCCAGTTGATTCAAAAGCTTCCGCTATAGTGCACTTTCATACGCAAGACGCCACTGTTTGGCGATTTATCGATGTTCAATCATTGGCCGGGGGCTCGGGGAGCCAAGGCGCCTTTTTGGGACTCTGGGCCTGGAAAGCGGGTGCCGAAGGGTCGCAACTTTTGCAACTCCGAAGGGTCGGGACCTCTATATTTGGGAAGGCTATTTGAGTATGCAAAAAGTCTAGGCTTCTGTTGGGCTGCACTCAATACGGCAGCGTGGCCCCAAGTTGGTAAGGCGCTTCGTGCCGGGATGAAGGGACTCCGGATTGCTCGATGGTCAGGTGCTGACTGTGTGTGGCACAACGCCGCTGCGGTTGGGCCCTTCTTGCCCAAGCACTTCTACAAGAATGCAGATGCCTGAGCCATCCAGCTCGCTCGAACTATTTGAAGTCTCTAGACCTCGAATCCAAAACGTGTGCTGCTGTTTCAATCAAACAAGCATGCACAATTTTATGCCTTTAAGCAAGAACACAACAACTTCCATGTTTCCTCAAAGTTTGTCGGGGATTCGGAATGCCTCAAAATGCCCTGTGGGCAGGATGATCCTGCGTCCATCCAACAGACAAATATCTTCAAATTTGAGGGGGGCCTCTCGGGGAAAAGAAGCTTCTATCAGGGACGACGTTTGTTGGTGGGAAGGTGTGGGTGTGGGAAGGTGTGCGTGTGCGAAATAGCTGAACTTGTAGCCAGTTTTCCAAGCAGGCATTTTGCATTTTGTCAACCATCAGTGTCTCTTTTTCGCAAGTGAAGGGATGTCATTGCCTACTCCACTACTAATGATGGAACATGAGCGAGTTTGCTTTGATTCTGACGAATCCTGATTGAGCTGCCTTATTCAAAGCCGTTGGTTGTCTGGGTCTGAATTGCTGCGATGGTCGCAATATTTTCTCACCGCTCCGTGTCCTAGTCTTTGCAAGTGGATCCAGGAATCCAGTCACACCCACAAGAAGGGGAGACCACAAAGTAAAAGCCTCGAGGTAAACGTCCTGCCCTGTCTTCAGTGGCAACTGGATCCGGTGGTTCATTTACTTTTCCATGGCTTCAGGTCAATGTGATCGGGACCCGCAACGTCCTAGACGCCTGCAAGAAGAATGGACGGCGGCTGGTCATGTTGGCTTGTTGAGTTGACAAATTGTAAATGTGCTGGTCAATTTGAAGAGAATGATTACTCTCCGTTTTGGGTCCTGATTGTCAGGTACCAAATTGCGAAAGTAAAGCCCCTATGCCGCAAGTTGCTGTACATGTAGCCTGCTTGCTTGCTTGCTTGCTTGCTTGCTTGCTTGCTTGCTTGCTTGCTTGCTTGCTTGCTTGCTTGCTTGCTTGCTTGCTTGCTTGCTTGCTTGCTTGCTTGCTTGCTTGCTTGCTTGCTTGCTTGCTGTCCTAAGAGCTTGGAAAACACATGTGACTATGTAGACGATCTGTTTTCATTTGCATCTGGTTTTTGACTGTTTCCTCTTGTAATACAAGTGGATTGCGGAGGATGCCTTTCAGCCCGCAGGAGTGCGGAAGATGGTTTTCTCCGCGACGCCTTCCTCGCGGTTTACGTGCACCGACGATGTGGATGGCCAGACGGAGGCACCATGAGGGTAAACAAGAGGGGCTCGACCAGGTTCAGATCCAGAACTAGACGAGGGAAGCAAGGCCCATTTGAAGGGTAAAGGGAAGCCAAGGACACGCTGCTTTTAGGAGTGCTCTATTTAGGGAACCCGGAAAACAAGCTGGAGCGTTGACAAATTGATCAACCTGCAAGACAGGTCGCCTCGCTTCAATGCAGAACAGATACACAATTGAGGAGGAACAAAATATTTACCAGCTGAACTCGCAGCATCTTGCAAAATAAGATGAATCAACTGCTACTGGGATTTGTCATTTCAGAAAACCTAAAAGGGCAAGTCCCAAACTCGCAGGTGGCACACCCTCACCAGTTGTTGGCCTGTACATTTCAAAAGGCTGAATCATATGTCCGCATATGAATTAATTGCCATTTTGGGCCCCTTTTGCCGGCGTCCCTTATTCAAGCCGTTTGGTTAGTTAGCCCACAATCTATCGGTTTCATTCCAGGCTTTCTACATGGGCATTGGGTATATTATGATGGCGACCTTTTGAAGGGCCCGTGAAGAACCAGTTCAATCGAGTATGGCTCGGATTGTCAGGGGTTACGTCGTGTCTGCAGTGATGAAAGTTCACCGAGTTTTTCGGAGAAGCTGCCCATGTGATTTCTCCCGAACGGCGTGGAACCCGAACAAATATCTGAACAAGCTGCAGGACACCGCCTTTGCCAGGCAGTTTGTTTTGGCAAGTGGAAGCGGGGAGACGGGGGCGCCTGGTAATCGTACTGTCGTCTACTCCTCATTTCGAGAGGACATGGGCACTACCCAATCCACCGGATTTTCACAAGAGGGGGCGGACCACCCGAATAAACCATTGGGAACCAAAGCCCTAAGAAGCTGCCAAGAAGTCTTAATTTTTCCCTCAAGGAAATCGCAACGAAAGTATGTCTTGCCTTTTTGCTATTGTTTCACTGTACTTGTGTAAGTGCTCTTCTATTTTTCCCCGATCAGTCATATTGTTTGCTGACTTCACTTCTTCGCCTCAGCTGCGGTGCAGTCGGCCAGGCGCAGATGCCGGACATCCCTCAGGCTGGGCTGGCCCCAAAGAGATGCGATCGAAATGTGTATGCGTCAAAATTATTTTGTTTTCCCTTCAAACCAACCAACAAAAAGGGCGCGCTCAAAAACAAACACAGACACGCACACAAACAAACACACACACAGACACACACACAGACACAGACACACACGCACACAGACACCCACACACACACACAACACGAACAACACGCACACAACGCACACATGACACACACACACACACGCGCACAGACATAGACACGCACACACACGCGCAGACACACACACACACAGACACAGAGACACCCACACACACACACACAACACGAACCAATGCACAAACACACACACAACACACACACAACACACACACAGACAAACACACACACACACAGACAAACACACACACAGAGACACACACACACAGAGACGCACAGACACACACACACACAAACACAGACAAACGTAGACAACCACACAAACGCGCACATGCACATGCACACGCACACGCACACACACACACACACACGCACACCCACACACACGCACACACACACACACACACACACACGCACACGCACACGCACACGCACACGCACACGCACACGCACACGCACACGCACACGCACACGCACACGCACGCACACGCACACGCGCACGCACACGCACACGCACACGCGCACGCGCACGCGCACGCGCACGCGCACGCGCACGCGCACGCGCACGCACACACACACGCACACGCGCACACGCACACACACACACACACGCACACGCACACGCACACGCACACGCGCACGCACACGGACACGGACAAGCACACACACACACACACCCACACGCACACGCACACACACACGCACACGCACACGCACACGCACACGCACATCGCACATCGCACATCGCACATCGCACATCGCACATCGCACATCGCACATCGCACACGCACATGCACACTCACTGTCACACGCACACGCACACGCACACGCGCACGCACACGCACGCGCACGCGCGCACGCGCACGCACACGCACACGCACACGCACGCGCACGCGCAAGCACGCACGCACACGCACACGCACACGCACGAACGCACGCACGCACGCACGCACGCACGCGCGCACGCGCGCACGCGCACGCACACGCACACTCACACGCACAAGCACACGCACACGCACACGCACACGCACGCACACGCACACACACAGACACACCAACACACAGACAGACACACAAACACACACGCACACGCACACGCACACGCGCACACGCACGCACACGCACACGCACACGCGCACGCGCACGCACGCGCACGCGCGCACGCGCACGCACACGCACACGCACGCACGCACACGCACACGCGCGCACGCGCACGCACACGCACACACGCACGCACGCGCGCACGCGCACGCACACACACACGCACACGCACAAGCACACGCACGAACGCACGCACGCACACGCACACGCACGAACGCACGCACGCACGCGCGCACGCGCGCACGCGCGCACGCGCGCACGCGCATGCGCGCACGCACGCACACGCACACGCACAAGCACACGCGCACGCACACGCACACGCCCACGCCCACGCGCACTCGCACGCACACGCACACGTGCACGCACACGCACACGCACACGCGCGCACGCGCACGCACACGCACACACGCACGCACGCGCGCACGCGCACGCACACACACACGCACACGCACAAGCACACGCACGAACGCACGCACGCACACGCACACGCACGAACGCACGCACGCACGCGCGCACGCGCGCACGCGCGCACGCGCATGCGCGCACGCACGCACACGCACACGCACAAGCACACGCGCACGCACACGCACACGCACACACACACACAGACACACACACACACACACACGCAGACACACACACATAGACACGGACTACACACACACACAGACACACACGCACAGACACACACACACACACCCGCACAGACACACACACACAGACACATACACACACACACACAAACGCACACGCACACGCACACGCACACGCACACGCACACGCGCACGCACACGCACACGCCCACGCCCACGCGCACGCGCACGCACACGCACACGTGCACGCACACGCACACGCACACGCGCGCACGCGCACGCACACGCACACGCACACGCACACGCACACACGCACACACACACACACACAAAACACCCACACACCCACACAGGCCCACAAACACGCACGCGCACGCGCACGCTCACGCGCGCGCGCGCGACCACGCGCACACACCCTCAGATACACAAGCGCGCACCTGCGCGCACACGCGCAAGCACAGGCACATGCGCACGCGCGCGCACGCGCACGCGCACACGCACACATACACACACACACACACCACACACATACACTCAACACACACACAACACACACACACACACACGCACACACAACGCAACACTACACACACACACACACAACGCGCACACAGCACACACACACACAAACACACCAACACACCAACACATAAACACACACACACAAACACAATTGCCCCGCGTAATCTCCAGGAGCGGTATGTGGCGGAGTACTCTGCCACCAAGGCGGAGGGCGAGCTGGAGCTCCGGAAGGCGCCACAAAGTCGACGACAACAAGCGGCAACAAGAGCGTGTTCTGCTTTTTGAGGGGGTGGGGTCTATTTCGTAGCAACCTTCTTCAGGGTATGGGTGTTTTAAGGTTGATGCTGCTGCAAAGGGGAAGACATGGAAGACTAAATAACCCAAAACATTTGGCGGCCTTTTGGTTTCCATTCCAGTGAAAAGGACGTCAAGAGAGTTGGCTAAAGAGCGGGCGTTTTGCTTGGGGCTTTAGAGCATCCAAAAAGGGGTACCCCAAACAAAACACGCATATGAGCAATGCCCAAACACCCCCTTGACCAATATAGCAGGTGGTTCTACCTGGTCTTGTAGTGACAATTCCTTTCATTGGCACTCTCACTTTAGAAATCGATTTGACCAAGTTTACGGAGGTGCCAGCGCAGTGGACGCATGTACAACTTGCGCCCGGCAGCTTTTTTTTATATAGCTTACAACTTTCCCGATCGCATTATACGCAGGCGTGCAAGGCCGGGGAGATCCTCTTCGTGGCAGCCGCTGGCCAAATCGTCTTGTCCTTTCGTTGCACCCCTCAGTATAGACAGGGGTTAACCAGTGTTCCTTAAAGGATACATTAAAAGCAAAACAGCGTCTGGGAGATACTCACTCCATGTTGGTTGGTATTTAGCGGGAAACCAAAAGGAAACCGTTGTCACTTTAGGGGACCTCTTTCTGATTCATTTGATTCATTTTGGTGTTTTTTTGAATAGGTTTTGGGGCCCTCCAATTTTGAGACAATCTCATTTGCAGGGGTTTATCAATCCGTGACTGATCATCCGTGACTGATCATCAATACCTGGTATTTGTAAAGTAGTCTACCCAAATCACATTTGGTCGCAGATCATTTGTTTTTGCATTTTCCTGGTAGGAGGGGGGGGGGGGGCGGTCGCAGACCTCATTTGTGCAACGGGCAAACAATTTATCCTCAAAAGGGTGGTTTACGTTTGCAGACATGGCTGCCAAGAAGCCCTTCCTACTCGTGCTTCGTTCAGAGTGTGGTACCGTTGAAAGCTATGGTTGATGTTGACCTTTGTGCTGCATCGAAGTTCCTTCACACATAAAGCCCCGGACTGACATGAAGGGGCGATTTGAACATTGTTTGCGCAACTGAAGCCCCAGTTGCCCACTGGCCCCTTTTTTGTCTTGCTCTATCTTGCTCATTGTGTTAAACGAAATCTGGGTTTCTCTTCAAAATCAAACGAGCCCAGATTTCTAAGAGCATCCAAGCTCTTCGGGCGTGAGTGAGCCAGTGAGCCGACACTCGTGTCGGGGGCTCGTGAGGTCGGTGTTGCGTCAATTCTGGCGAGCGCGCCGAAGTGGGAGGTGAAACGAGCGATCTATGACGAAGTATGTTACTCCTCACTGGGTGGTTCCTTTTAGGTTGGCGGAGTATGCAGCAGTATGCATACTTTAACGCGCTCCATGGTTTTTATGGCGCCGTTCAAGTGCCATGCAGGACAAAAGCCAATTTGGGCTGTTCGTCCGAGAAAAGCAAGTGCCGGATCGGAGCGTGGGACCAGCTACGGGTGTTGTTTCATGCTCGTAAGGTGAGCGATGACTTTAAGCTCAGCGCCTGTTTTGAGCGAGTAGCCCTCAAAGGCCCCTACAGACATCCGTCTAAAAGAGAAGATCCAGGCATCCTACAGACACTAAAACACAACCAATACCCCAAAGGTGGTTGCCAGCTAGGCTGATTTGTTTGTTCATAGTCCCCGATTAAGTTGCGCGCCTGGCTGCGGGGCTTCTGCCCAGGTTGCACCGCACACTGTTTATGGGCCACGCCGAAGCCTGAGCAGGGGAGGGATGCTTGCAGAGCCGGGAATGACACACAAACCTGAGCAAATAAAATTGACTTCGCAAAGGTTTTCGGATCTCAGCAAAAGTACGGTTCCCTTGATTTCTGGCCAGTACAGACGGCGGAGCCCGGGGCGGAAGTTTCAAGCATATACGTATACGACCATAGTTTGGAGCGCGTTTCTTGTCCCTTTCTATTTCTCTTTCTGTTTCTCTGTCCCTTTCTCTTTCTCTTTCTCTGTCTCTTTCTCTTTCTCTTTTCTTTCTTTCCTTTCTCTCTCTCCCTCTCCCTCTCTTAGCCCATGACAGGGAAAGACCCAGAAAACAACAAGTTTTGTTAGGGTCGACCCACCGAAAGTCCGCAGAGCGTTCATCTTGTGATGGTTGCACAAGCTGATAAAAGCAACAACCGCGAGTTTCTCACGGTCGACCCGCCCAAAGTGCGCAGAGGGTCGCGCGAGCGAAATGAACAGAAGGAAAGAGACGTTCTCGAGGGTCGACCCCCAAAGTGCGAAGTGAGCGACCTTGCCAAATGGGCCCGTCTCCGACCCCTCTCCGAGACCGCGTCCGTGCAGACATCGCGACCGAGGTGGTTTGCGAGCATACGAGAGGGGGCCAAATTCACGCATTTTCGGCCCGCTTCTATTCCCCAGTTCTTGCATTATCCAGCTTGTTTATAATTTATAGCTGTTTCACGCGCAGTGCATCAGAAGATCACGCGCAGGTCTGTGCATTTTAAAAGGAGCTAGCTCCATCAGTTCCAGTACTACGGAAGTTCCTCTATTTGTCCGACTAAACATGTAGATGGAATCACTGGTTTACCCACGAGAAAGATTCGCTGCATAGGGATCCCTTGCTTTTGGTAGTGAATGTTCGGATTTCACGGAAAAATGCTGGCCCTGATTACGACTCTCCAATTCCAAATCAGTACGGGGTTCACCAAAATCCCAGTTGGGGACATCAATCCCACAAGAGTCCGAAGGCGACAACCTCTTCCTGCCCAACCTCCTGGAAGCTGCCGGCGTGGGGAAGCTCCGCATCTTCGGCAGCGGCACCAGCCGTGTGGGGCGCCATGGCTCAAGCGAAGCGTGGCGTGCGGGACACTCGGAGCCGTGCTCGTTGCCCCAAAACCAGGGTCCTCGCCCAAAAGGAGATTCCTCACGTGGGCGTTTGGGCTATGTGATTGTGGAGAGAACTGTACGGAACGGGGAGGGGCGTACTCTTCCAACAAAAACGACCTTCCAACATCTTCCAACCCAAACATTTTCCCAGAACGTATATATATATATATATATGTATATATATATATACATATGAGGGGGATCTTCAAGGTTTTTCCTGGCGGCTGGGGGTGGAGATGGCAACGAACACCTGACGGTATTTACATTGAGCAGTAGATGATTTCAGTATCGGACAGTCGCGAGAAATTGGCGCAAGAAACCGTTTTGATTCTTTGCCGTAGGTTTTCGACCTGTTTATCGCATTGATCTAAGCTGTGAAAGCGACAGTCTCGGAAGAAGCTCAGAGAGATTTCTGTTTGGCTCGACCTTGAACCTTTAACCTTGCACAGGGTTCCTGTACAGGTCAAGCAAGTGGCTTTCGGATTAATCTTTTAATAAAGCCTGTTGCACTTTTCAGCGAGATTTCTATTTGCGTGCTTTCCAGAAATCGGGGGCCCCCCCTTTTTGGATGATCAATGGGAACCAAAAGGGTAAGCTCCCCACTTCTGAGGGTAGCCCCATGTTTGTACCACTTAGTTGGTTGGATCTTGACCCTTCAACTTTTTGTTTTTGCATAGCATCCCACAACCATCAACAGTTGAGAACCTTTTGGGGAGCAATCACCGCCAATACCAATGTTTGTCTTTTTGCAAGCAAGCAGATGGCTGGAAGAGAAGCGCGGGGAGGCGGGGGTGGGCAAGGTTTGGGACTAACAAGAAGCACTGCTCTTCCCCAGACCGTGTTTGGACTCACAACAAAAAGAGCGACGGGCTATAGTGATTTGTAGGGATTTCGTGGTTTGTAGTCATTCTTTTCATCGGGAAGGGGTTGTAGTGGTCAATTCCTGGTTTAGTGTGGGATGAGCCTTTAGGACCCTATAGAGACAGAAGTCAGGGGTTGAAAACATCCCCACTGGAGTTCAGAGCCGTTGAGACAGACCCAGAATGCGGTGCATTTGCATTTGTGTGTTTTGCGGATGTCTAGCTTGGTTGCCCCTGGGATACGCTTTGGCCAGGTGCTTGATTGCGGATTGTCAAAGTTGGTCTCATTTGCCTTAGTTTCAAAACAACACGTATTAGGCCCTTTTTGCAACGCAGCAAGCAGTTGCCATTGAGCGGGTCCCCGCACAAGTTACGCGTGCGCATCTGGCCGCCCGATCGCAAACTGGAGGTACACCCATGTGGACAACTATTGCCATGGGCTGATCATTGCAGAGAAGCAGCTATACGAGAACGGTCCGCACTTGGGCGGCCCGGACGAACCAGATCGTGGCACGCGGCTTTCGGATCATGTGTGGCTTTATTGAAGTGTTGCCTTTTCGGAGCTCAGCTAACTTTTGGGATTGGATTCCGACTTGAGCATTTAAAGGCAACGACAGCCACATATGTTCAGGCGACGCAGCGTGATGGTTTGGACCCATGTTCAGGGGAACCTTGTGTCGCAAACGTCCATTTGTTCTGTGTGAGATTCCTTTGCGATTGCTATTCCTTGGCTGGCGGTGTTCCCGGCATGGAAAACGTTATATAATATACAAAGAACACCCTGAAGTGCCTGGACCCCTAGGCTCCAAAGCTTGAAAGGCTTTTGTTGTGCTTTTCCTTCATGCATACCCTGTCAGGGTTTTGTCAAGGACTCTGCTGGTGAAACCTGACGGCCAGAAATTCGTGTTTGGTATTTGCAACCGACCCGTGGCAGTTGCAACTGGCACGGATCCGAGGCAAATTCTATGTTTGCACGGATGGCGCCACTCATCCGCACCCGGAGGCCGCCGTTTGCAACTTGTTCCATTTGTGGAACGTCTCAAGGTAGGGGAATCCCAGGGCTGATGCAAATATTCAGTTTCACACGGGCAGAAACAGAGACAGGGACGGAGAGAGACAGGAGAAAGAGAGACAAAACGAGAGAACTGTCAAGATTATGCCTTTCATTGCTGAGGTTTGCTGAGGAACCCATTTCAAGGAACCAAAGTGTTGTTTCCGGGTCAAGGTCGCCTGCTTGGCCCTCGCATCTAGGGGATGCTTCCCTGCAGCAGCAATAGAAGTAGAGATAGAGAGAGAGAGAGCGACTATCGTGTGTTGTTTGTGCTGTTCGTGCAGTTGGTGTTTTTCCACGTCATCCAAAAAGTTTCTTTTGGAAGGGCCCATTTTTCCCTACGCGCTTTTTGTTGGTAGTGCTCCAGGCTGCGCGCTTGCGTTGTGCGTCTCGCGAGGGCTACAGCGTGTTCTGGGAGGAGTTGGACCAGGCCGTGGTGGGCATGGGCTTCGATTCCTTGTACAGCCCCTTGGCGCGCCGCGTTACGGATGAGGTTCGGGCTGTGGGAGAAGTGCGATTCCGATGGAATTGTTTCCTGGGTAAAAAAGACTGACTTACATCACCTTTTGGAAAGGCCAAGTTGATTTGTGAGTTTCCTTTGGGGGATATTTAAAGGGGAACTATAGGGAACGACTGTTCCAATGTGCCAATGAGAACCAGGAGCTTTGCAAGACTGCCATCTTGAACTGGCCCCGAAAGGTCCAATTCCAGAATTGTTGAAAACATTGGAAGTTCATGTGGACCCAGGCATTGATGAACCCCTGGTTGATTGATAGGGCGTTGTCTCATTGTAGTGCTCTTGACTTTTTGGGGAAGCACACCCCCTATTTGTCCACCAGGACAGTTTGGATTGCTTGCCACCGACAATCAAGTGGATGGGTTCGAGCATGTTTTTCTTGCCGACGGGGTTTGGACGTAAAGTGATTTCTAATTCGCATTTTCACCATTTATTGTTGGACGAGTGCCCTTTTATTCAGAGGATTTGAGCTGGAAAGATTTGGGCACCGGGAAAGACTTGGGGAGCCCAGTGGGTCCATCACTCTGCAACTATGGCCAACAAACAAGCCAGGGAGTCTGAAGCGTCGGCCTCAACGGATTGCCAACTATGCCGGTACCTGGAATCTTTGGGTTGGCAGTCACGCCCTTTTGGGAATTATATTTTTCGGGCAAAGGCGGCAGAGTCATGTTCATGGCCCGAACTCTCAGCCCTGAAGTCAGCGCCAGGATGTTCAGAGTCGCGTCTTGGGGCAAAGAATTCATCCTTCACAATACCTTCTGTCGAAGTTAAGGATGGCCATGGCTGAATTCCGATCCTTCTTGAAGGGTCGTTGCAACGAAGGCTCCTTCATGCATTGGCGGCTTTGCGCTTCCATATATTGAGTTTGATACTAGGCTGTGATCGAGGGTCTTTTGAGGATTCCCGAGAAACTCTTGATGCTGACGTTCAGTTTTTTTTGCAAGGCCTTAGTACTAGGAACATACTTATCCTTTCAGGTCAGATTGTCTACCAAAAAGATGGCACTGGCTTCGTTTAGGTTCTATCCATTTATTCGTCCAGCGCAGCACCAATCTTCCAAAGGACGTCAAGTGTCATGAAGGCTTCCCGATGCTCGATACTCGGCTGCAAGGCAAAATGGCGGTCCCGTTTTTCCTCCTGAGGACGGGATCAGAGCATGCTGACACAGAGCAATGGGTCTTACGACACGCCCATGTTGACGTTGCAACCATCTCAGTGGGAAAAGCCCCGAAACGGGGTGTCTTACCTTCAGTTTTTTTTGAAAACAATGCCAAACTGAGGTACCTCATAAAAGATACGCTCATACGAGCAACCGACAACGTATCGTTTCTGATGGGCCCATATCAGTTCTGTAGGTTGGTTGGTATCGGTTTTGGCTAGGCTTGTGGTGGGAATATTGTCGGCTGTTCCTTGAATCTGTTTGAGGGTAATTCTTTGGTTGTCAGCTCGTTGAGCTCACCAATTGGGCCAAAACGGGGGATTCGTGGGATTGCCTAGGAAGGCTCCTTGGGAATTTGTGAGAGTCTTCGTGCATGTTTTCAGGTTTCCGACAAACGACTTGTGGTTTTCCGCGCGGGCTGGAGAGAGGGAGAGGAAGACGTAGAGAGAGAGAGAGAGAGAGAACGAGAAAGGGAAAGAGAAAGAGAAAGGGAAAGAGCGAGAAAGAGAAAAAGATAGAGAGAGCGAGAGAGAAAGATAAATGCAAAGCAAAAGAGAAAGAGAGAAAAGGGCAAAAGACGCGTGCTCTAGTGGTACTTATTTCTTATTTGTTTGAAACTTCCGCCCCGGGTCCACTGGCTTTAGTGGTACTGCGTTTTCGGATGCAAGTATTCTTCCTAGGTGTTGCCTTTCTTCTATTGCTCCATTTTTGCATTGGCAGTTCCTGTTAATTATTGAACGACTCGCCACGGAACGGCTTGTAGATGAGAGAGTGGGAATGTGCTTAGACAATCCTGGTCCTCCACCAGTTGCCATGTAAGGCTTATTACTGCAGCCTTTGCTTTTGCATTTCCAGCTTCGCTTGCCATTCTTGTCTCTAGAAAGGGAGGGTGGCGAAGGGAAAGTTAAGCATAACAACTTGGAGGCTAACGGTGCAGATTCCATTGCTCCTCAAGGGTTCCAAAAGTGTCCCCGCACCCAGAGATGCAGCTAAGTTGGTGAGGGATTCGCAAGGCACGGTTTTGCGGGGTGGTTTCCCTTCAAACCATATTTTAGAAGCTAATTTTGAGGATGTCACTGCAATGGGCCCGAGAAGTTGTTCAAATTCCATTTCGAGAGGATCATCGCCTTCATTTGCGACGCCATCGGCGCTGTGACTGGCAAGAAGCTGAAGCTGGGCTGGTTCACCCTACGCATGCTCACCATGCACAGGCCGGGGGGCATGGGAGCTTTTGGGAGGCTCAGAGCGGAGATTACCCCCGTTCCAAAGGGAGGCTCCAAATCCTCTTTGATCCTTTTGTGGTTTTGTAAGTCCCCCAGCCATCCCTGACCATTTGCCCTGGCTGTCAGTGGATTTTACTTTGCTCCAGTTGTGTGTGTGTGTGCGCATCACGCGTTCAAAAGGTTTTCTTGCTTTGTTCGGGCTTTTGAATCCTTCTGGTTCCCTCCCATGTTCAATCCTGCGACACCCTATTGTCTGTGACATCCTCGGCCCTGAAACCCGCCGAAACCGACAGGTGGTTTCGCATCACAGCGGCGCAAAATGACTTGGGCTACCAGCCCGTGGTCTCCTACCGGGAAGGATGGCCCGATACCATCGAGTGGTTCAGGACCCGGCGGGCAATGGAGCGAAGGGTATGCCTGTGTTGGAGGCTCGGTGCCTTTTGTTTGGGGTTGTGTTTTTGAGCTGGTCAATCCCCCGGCAGCCTGCGCCAGATTTGCTTGCATGGGAACTTCAATAACTCATTCCATCCTTGATGTTGGGTGTTTTGTTATGACATGCTGGTCTGTGCCACATTTGGAGACAAACCCACGGCAAAGAAACGGCCCTGAAGTGCCTTTCATGACACAGACCAGGTGGTGGGCTGTTGCAGCCTTGGCCAGTATCTTGTGGGAAAATGAGTGCTTGGCTAGCGAGTTCAGGGGGGCACAGGACCAGTGACGGACTGCTTGGGGTCGTCTTACAGATCAGGGAAACGGGGCTTGGTGTGAGATTGCAAGTTGGTCCAAAGGGAAAATCTGTAGTCGTCGGGTTTGGCATCGGATAATTTGGCTTTTGGTTGCTCTTTAGTATGCCGTCGAACCTTTTTGGAATACGATGACGACTTTCCCGCTCAAACGCAGGAAGGTCCGCTTCTTGCCAAAACCAACCACCCACTTTATTGGTCTTGGAGGTCCACAAACGTGAATTGGAGGGCCCCCCCAAGTGAGCAGCAGGGTGGGGCAGCAACCCTTTCAACAAGAGCTTGAATCGCCCCATTTTACAGCTAGACCAATATTTGAACACCCCCTTGCAGATAAACGCGACCCCCAAAAAGCCACCATTTGAGGGTTTCTCAAGATGGCTCAAGGGAAGCAACCGACACCATGGGGGACGGGACTTCCCTTGAGAAACACCGAGAACAGTTTTTTGGATTTCGGAACCAGGAACAAGTGGCTGCCCACCTTTGACCCCAAGACTGCCTCGGGGGCCACCGGCGGTGTAGCGCAGCAGACGCAGGACAAGGCGCGGTTCAGCTTGTCGAGGGTGGCTTATCCGGTTCCGGTGGACACAATTCAATTGGTTTAAACCACCCCACGATCCCCTTAAAAAGGGAAACCGAAATGAGATCATTGAAACAATCGGGGTGTTCACAATATAACAAGGGGTTGGGCCAAGCCTAGGGGTATGTGATAAATATCGCATAGGACCCTAAGTCCTAGGGTTCCAAAGCACCTTGGTTGCCAAGTTGTTTAGCCTTTTTGTTTGGATTTGGTGGTTTTCCTCGGTTACTTGCAAGCCGAAGCACGATTTTTGTTTGAGGGCATCGTTTTGGGGATGGTAGCGTCATGCATGAAAGCATAGGTGTCCTTTTGGTGAGTTTTTGGTTCCACTGGTTTCAGTTTGGCTCTAATCATTTGCCAGTGCCACCTGTTTCCAAAGGTCCCCTAGGGATCGAAGTTGGTGACCGAGGTTTTGCCATTTTGTTTGGATATGGTGGTTTCCTTGGTTACCTACTATAGCCAACAGGGGGTTCGGGACTTACCGTTTTGAGAGAAGAGGGTGCGTGCGTCACGCCATGTTTGGTGGGAGTGTAGGCGCCTGTTGAGCCTTTGCACAGCCCATGCATATATCAGGTTGAGTTCGGGGACACCCGAAGGCCCCTTGTGACCCTTGTGTGGCTTTCCGTACATAACGCCGTCTGGTGGATTCCTGGGTCTCTGCCTGAGAGTTCTAGGGAGGCTATTCATCAGGGGTCTGATCAATCAGGAGGGAGTATCGGTTTTGCCGTGATCAGTCCTTCAACAGTTCCCATTCACTCCCCGCCCCTCAAACACACGCACATCCGAGTGTTGATTCTTCTATCTCATTCCCCAGTGGTGATCGTTTGTTTCCCGTGAGCTTGCTTGATTCGGTTTTGACCGAAGCATGAGAAATTGTTTCCCTGCAAGGGCGGGGATGTCAACGGGGGCCCTTAACTCACATTACCAATCCACCACCGGAAATCCGACTTGATATTAAACAAGCTATATAAAATAGTGTCATCACATGCCCGCGGTTTCCTTTTGCCTTTCCAACAAAAAGAGTGCCGCCCCATTTCCGAGACTCCTCTAGGCAGTTTACAGTGCCGCGAGGTGAAGATCCAGAACGATCGCATGATGAAGTGAGCGATCAACTCACATTGCAGGGCTAAAGGGCCCGGCGAGTGGTCCCTTGTTTGTGGGGTCGCACCGCCTGGAAATCTGGTGCGATTGAAAGCCCTATCAGCCATTTTTTTTTTTTTTGCAAGATCCTGACCAAATATCAAGCAACCAGCAGTAGTCGTATGCCTTCTAACATGGCCCAACTCCAAACAAGCCATTGCATCGGTTGCATTCGACCACGTTACTACCAACAAAGATTACTTCGAAGGGAGCCTTGTCGACAGTTTCTCATGATGTGTCCGGCAGAGACCATGGCACCAGAAGACTCGCCCGGCTAGCGCTGCTTGGCTTGTCTATTTTCGACCTCCACGCCATGAGGCATGCCACCCTAAGGGAACATGTCTTCAAGGGAACATGCCCGGGGGCCCACAGAAGATTCGAGGATGGCTGGAGGTCCCTTGCATTTTTTGACTTGGGCTCAGCCAATATTTTCCATGCCTGATCTCACTCCAACCGCAGAAGACGGAAGAAGGACACGGAGCTGGTGGATAAGGGACTTGCAGTCCGGCGTGTTGGATCCAAATTGTGATTTAAAAAAACAAAAAAAAAACACGGCGAACCAAGCGCCGCGTCAACTGCGCGAATCAACTTTGTCCCACACTTCAACGCATTCCAAACCATCCAGAAGCCACCCTCCAACGAAACTCTCAAACCCACCCTAAACCTACTAAATCAACCCTGAACCCACCCCAAACCAACCCACACCGATTCTCACCCACCCTCACCGGACCTTGCCGAGTCCAGACGAACTACCCTTGTTGGGGTTGCTTCAACGAAAACCAGCAAACACCAAAATACCTGCAGCTTCAAACGACTAGAAAAAAGTAGGTGTTTTGGTCATTGTCTTGCTTTTGCATGTTTCGTCTCGTTTTTACCGCAAAACGACTAAGACGCCTAGAAATTTGAATTATTGGGTGTTTCCTTCTTGCACAGGGCGTTCTCTCTCATTCAGCTTGATATTGCCCACTACACCAGATGTTCGAATCTTCAGAAACTTCTAAACACTTCGAATCCTTCCCTCCATCAACACCCTTCAATCCTAGCTGTGCGGGGAGTGGTGCGCAAATCGGAGCAAGTTTAGTCTAAACATGCTTCGAGTGAGAAACGCACTTTGTTCGTACCAGTTTTGGCCGCAAAACGAGCGCAAAAACCCGCAAAACACCCGCAACAACCCGCAAACGAGCGCAAAACCCAAAAAGTGGGTCAATTGGGGTTGTTTCATGCACTGCCCGCTCAAAAGCATGCCCTGATTGGGCACCGATGTAGGGTCATGCTTGCAACGGTAAATGCAAGCACCGAGAAAGGAAACTATATTGATATGAGGTCAGATCTTGTTGGCTCAAATATCCTCCCAAACGGCCAGCAGCACGTTAGACGCCGGCCTTCGTACTAGTTTTCCAGCGGTTCGTACTAGAACCCCCAGTTTTCCTCCAATCGTACCCATTACCCAAAACGCCCAGAAATTTCTGGGTGTTTGAATCTCCAGGTATAGTTTTTCGGGCTGCGCTTTACGACAGATTCTCTATTTTTTTTAATTGTGTCTCCCTCACGCCCTTCAAACCCGCCCCTTTCCTGCCGTCGCAGGCCAGCGACCTGGAGCTGCAGATCAAGGAGGGCCGAGCATCGATGCGACGAGCGCAAAGCCCAAGGGGTGACGTGAGACCATTTATTGGGGAATTACCACCCTTTGCGGAGGTTCCCAGTTGTTGGCAAGTTACAGGTCAATCTAAAGGGTCTTTGTTTTGCAACCTTGGTTGGCCATTGGGAAGGTTCGTTGCGAAGCAATGCCCTTTTTGGAGGTTGTAAATGATGATAACTTGCACGAATCCTGATGCTTCACTACTTTGCCACTCGGAGTTTCTGAAAGGCAGGTCGGCTGTCTTCCATTCACCAAGTGGGGGCCAGATGTTGAGCTTTTGTTAACTTTGCAACGATGCACCATCATCCACGGTTTCTGGCTTGGGGTGCATCAGTCTCGTGGACACGCATGCAATTTCTGAGGATCCGGCTTCCGTTTTCCTGGGTTTTATCTCCTGGGCTGATGCAAGCCTTCAACATATCACAAGACCGTGTTGTGAAACCCATGGACCCATTTTGTGAGCATCTCATAGCCCATTGTGCCTGCTCAAGACCTGGCTATCTTTGGGATGATCAGGAGGATTTCGGGCAAGCTGGATCAATTCTCCAAGCCACGTCTCCTTTCACCCATTGAGAGTTGGCCCCTGCGGGAGGAGATGTCCCCCAAAGACCTGGTTGGCCCCTGGGTTGAAGTCAGTTTCCTTTGGGTTTGAAATGTCGAGAGGGTTGTTGTAGTGATCGACCTCTGTTTGACCATGCGCACTTGCAGCCGCGAAACCATGTAGGGTTGGGCAGCTGGCCCCTTGAAGGGAAACGAAAAAGGGTAAAGCACTGGTGTTTGAATTGTTTTAAACGGGGGGTTTGCCCTGTGCCAAACCCCACTACAAGGTGTCCCAGCCAGGCAAACACTCAGGCAAAGGCTTGGCATGCACCACCCACACGGGAGTACATGTCAAGTGTGACCTGTTCCTTTCTTCAGCAAATGCTCGTTTGTTTGCTTGATGCATTTCAATCCAAGAGGTTTGCCAACCCCCAAGCCACTGCCCCCTAAAAAACTGGTTGGTTGATACTCCTTTGCTTTTTTTAACACATATATATATATATATAAACTGCTTTGGACTCGTTTAGTGCAAAAACACCACATATTTCATGTGGTGTTGTTTGTGCATGGTGTCAGGACCTGCGGTCAGACCTCGGGGAGATCCTTACGCTGAAGGCTGGCCGAGAAAAGGGGGGCGCTTTCTTTTGCTTCTCATGAAGGCAACCACAAAAGGACAGACACGTCTTTGTTTTGCTTGGTTTTGGTTGTGTTTGATAGGTTGGACGATATTGGTCTTTTTCAGGCACTTACCAGGCCCGCAGGAAAGCACCTCGTCTTGACACGTGTGTTGGAAATCGCTTTTTGTTGAACGCGGGGAAACGTTACCAACCCTAGACCCACAATAATCCAACCCAAAGCAAAAGCAACAATAAGCCCATCCTGAGTTCGGTGCATGTGTTCGAACATGAGCCAAACTTGGTGTTGGAAATTGATCCCCCTTCCGGTCCATAGCCGCTTCAATTTGCATCGGCGCTTTGCATTTATGTCCAGCACTTTGCATTTAGTTCCGACTTTTATTAATCAAAATGCGAAATTTGTAAATGGCGTTGTATTATATGCCACCTGGACTTAAAGGGCAGTTGAACTGGTCATGACTAGTATGTCATTACTGGCCAGATGGGTGACCAGGTATCGCGCCAGAAAGAGGAAGATAGTCTTGCCACAGAGCGGAAACCTTGTTTTGTCACTTGTGCGGTTGCTATCGCAGATCCAGGGGCGTGCCATAACTTCCATCTATTTTGAGCATGCTCACCGACTCAGTGGTAAGCGTGCTCGCCCATGACTGAAGATCGCAGAGAGATTCCTTGAATATGGCTAGTCAAAAAAATGCATCACATAAGTGCAGATGTATGTGTGTTGATTTATGTACATATATGTCTTTATGTTGACAACATCGTGCACAGGTCTTTGAAGGCAGGCTCTGCAATGTTCACGCAATGCCCTATGCGCAATGGATTGTTTGCGTGCTAAATAACCCGCAAACAATTATATAAGGAGATGGCTAGTTTGCGATAGTTTCCAGACTTTGTGCCTGACACCCATTGCAAAGGACATCTTGGAATCCTTAGTTCGGGTTTCGTGAGTTGTAGTCATTGGCCAAGAGTCGCCCAATGAACCCCAATGGAAGGATGGACCATTGTGGGCAATGGGGGTTTTGGGCCCATTTCTGTGATACCAAGAAATCCCCCTTTAAACGGACCAAGTAGTCTTGAGGATGGGAATCCCGGTAAACAGTTGTTGTCCACAAGGCCACTGTTTCAATCTGGTGGACAACTGGAATTTTCCGGGTGGCTTGTTTAACCAGCTTCCCAAATGCTTTGGACTCCCCGTCCTCTTGGATTCCACAAAGCGGCTTGGGAATTCCGAAGGTGAAGCCCCGCCTGGCTTCGCTGGAGCGGGAGGCGAGGCCAAACCCCGAGACCTCATCAAGCACCAAACACGAGCAGGCTTCTTTTTGTCTGGGGAGTTGGACTTTGTTTGATTCAGTGTTTGCATTGGGTTGTATTGTGTTGTGTTGTGTTTGTTTCCATTAGTTTGTTTCCATTTGTTTGTTCTAATGTGTTTGTTTCCATTTGTTTTCCGTTTGTTTCCATTTTGTGTTCGTTTGTTTCCATTTGTTCCAGTTCGACTTGCTCTTTTTATTTTGGTGGGAAGAGGATGGAGGGGCATTGCGTTGCGCGCTTGTTTGTTTTCAGGTCGGTGACTTGCTCTAGGGCCTTTTGTTTGCTGTGTCTCGTTGAGTGCTTTTGGTTGGGCGTTTATTTTGCGCTGTTTGATGGTGAGTGTTCAAGCCGGCGGTGTTTTGTTACGGGCGTTTTTGCAAGCCGTGTTGGCTTGCATTCAAGCCGGCCACTGTTGGTGGCCTTGGCTTGCCTTTGATTTGGCTGTGGAAGCGAAACACTGGTCGCATGCAGATATCAGCCACTAGGCCTTTAGGCTGGCTGACATGAGGGCTCTGGCTCTTGCATTTGTGGGGATGAGGCAGCTCGTGGATCAAAAGGGACCCTTGGACAAGGCATTGATTTCAGAAGTACGAAGTGCAGGAGAAGCCCCATGGCCTTTGAAACAGGTTTTGGAAGCCTTTTTTCTTCCGCGGGCCCCTCCAAAAGCCAAAAGTACCCACAGATTTGTGATTTTGTCAGCTGATGTTGGAGCGCGACCACACGCGGATAGAATCCCAATGTCTCCCCTGATTTTCTCACACATAATCCTGGAAGCAAGGCCGTGGGGCCTTTTTGTTCGGGGTGGCTGTCGGGATCAGGGGGCTAGACGGCCAGGCTGAGTGGCAAAGGGTCCTTTAACGCAAGGCAAGCGATGTGCGACGGCGTTTGCTGCCGCTGCCCACTTGCGCTGTGGCCGGGGAGGCACGCGAGCGCGTGGCGTGGAGGGTGAGCGTGCACGTCAGCTCGTACAACCCCTGCGAGCAGCTGCGGGTGTTTAAACGTCCTTCAAAGAGGACATCAGAACTGACTTGGCCATACGAGCGCGTCGAAAGGAAGCATCCAATTAGTCCCATGTTGCTAGCATAACCAAAGAAGTTGCTTTCTGTGCATGAGAAACAAAGTGCCAACAGGTCCAGGTTAATGCGGCTCATTGCTTGGGCCATTGTCGTGCTTGAATTGCAAATGATGAATGGCTTGCTTTGCAAATAAGCCAAGCGTTGCCCAGCTTATACCCAATTGAGCGGTAGGTGATGATGTGCATCCTACCACCTGCTTGAGGAAGTTGGGTTGCTTGGCAAACAATTACAGTGAATATGTGTTGTCAAACCATTGTGTTCTTTCTTTGTTTGTTTTGTAGGACACATTTCTGCCGATGGAGGGCCATCTACCCCCTGTTGGGGTGATGCTTCCACTTTTCCACGAACAGGGGGACTGCTGTGAGAAGTCCGTTGACTGGTCGAAAACAAGGACTGCTTTGACCTCTCTCCCTCCCAGCACATGGGCAGCTGCCGCCGCCGCGTCACCTCGCCAGAGAGTTGGTGCAAGGCAGGGCCTGGGGGCACGGGTGAGGTCTCAAGGCCCCAAGGAGGGTGGTGGGTTTTTCCTTTAGTGTCCCCTTCTAAACAGGCTACGAACAAAAACAGACACATAGGCACAGCCAAAATACTGAAGGAAGGAAAGAAGGGAACACCCCCGCAAATTGCCAGGAGTTCGGCTTGCTTGTAGTGGTGGGCCACTTTTCAAGCCCCCTCTCTCTGCTGGGTGTCCTCTCCAGAACCATCAAAAGATGAGTTTTTCATGACTGCCAGGCAAGCCAGACACTGCTGAGTTGAAACTTATCACAACGGGTGTCCCTTAGATTTTGGAAAAGGGGGCCGTTTAATGATGTTTTTCCTGGAAGTGTGTAGCTGGTACAAGGACACCTCAGGAAAGCGACCGTGCGTGCCTACCTCGAGGTTTTTTGGGCATTTCAGCTGAAACTAGCCCCCCTCCAGTCGGTGTTTCCAGGGAAGCCGACAGGAAACTAGCCAGTTGTGTTTGGTTTGGGAGGGGTTGTCGGATTCCTCGTTCAGGATTTGCCTCCTTTGTGACGCCTAAGAAGGCACTAAGGCACTAACTCCTAAGAAAGACGCATCCATATGACCAATAGCTCGTACATACAGATCATGTCGTGCGCTTATTTGTACTGGAACCACGCTAGCAACGTGGAGTCATGCCCCGGCCAGGCCGTTTGTTGCATTGGAGGCTGAAGGCTTGGCTTCAATGCAGTCGAGTTGGGGGTCTGGAGGCCTCTCTGACTTCAGATGTGCTAAGCTTGAACCGGCCATTTTAGCTTAAGACAATCGTGCTGTCTAGACTACCGTGTTTGACAAATGCTTGGAAACACCCCCTAGAGTCATCGCTGTTTTTCTTGCAGGTGTTACACATACATATATATATATATTTATTATATGTAACATGTGCAGGCTTTTCCCAACACACCCATTTTCCGCCGTGTTTCAGCGAGTGTTGATCTTCGCAAACGCCGATTGCGATCTCCGACTTAATTTCGAAGGCCCTTGGCAAATGAGCTCTTGACGTTTTCAGCAGTTCGCGCACGACGCTGTGTTGGGCTGTTAAGACCTAGTGTTTGGTTGAAAGTAGTGTACCAGCGACAGTGGGCGGCAAAACCAAGAGAAACAAGACCACCATTTCAGGGTCTATCTCAAGACCCGCGGACATCTGTCGTCCACTGTCTGGGAGACCCAAACAAACAGTGCAGATTGCGCGCGCGCGTGCGACGACACTGGGACCTGCCAGGCAAAGAAGGACCTGCAAGATACTTCGGAGGCGCCCGGTCTCGAGCAGAGAACAGCGAGCGCAGCGGTGGAGTGTCTCCCTGGATGGACCTTCCATGATTCATTTGGCCAGGCAATGAAATGCATGTGTTCATGCCGATTTTGTTTAAAGTTACAACAAAGACTGGCATGTCCATATATGCGTGCAAGACTTCCATTGTTTGTCAGCTAAAGAAGGACTGAAGATGAAATACATGACGTTGATCAATGACACAGCCCCGGTATTTCCATCAGTCACTTCCAAAGTCCAAACTGTCAATCTATGTCATTATCTCTGTGACTCTGTGGCGTCGCATGGGGGAAGACGCATCTCCATTCTTTTTTCGCCGGCAGCCGAAGCCTGAAGCGCAGACCGCTGGGCCTGGGTTCCAAGTCCTTTGCTTGTCATGGGAAAGCTGCGCAACTTCTGTGGCTTTGGACCCAGTTTGTTTGACCAGAAAGGGGTTGACAAAATCTGAACCCTTCTTGGTGACTGTCAAAGGCGACGCAACATGATGCTCGGGTCCAAAAAAAAGACCCTTTCTTTTGGCAGCATACCACATTATGCTTTTCTTGATTGTTCCTTTTACTTGGTTGTAGCAACAGCAAAGGCCTCCGAATGGGGGACGGGGCAAGTGGATTAGATGACCCCAAGAATCCACGATTCACAACAACCAGATCTGACATTGTGGATTCCCACATTTGCTCCACTTGTCAGCTTTCTTGAGCGAGGAACGTTCGCCCCCGCTCGCCACTTTGCCCGAGCTCGCGCGATTCCTTCGGTCGCGCGCGGCCGAAGCGCCCGTCCGTGGTGTGCAGCGGCGGAACGATGCCGCTGCTCGCCTCGGGCTTGGAGCGCGCGGCGCAGGCGCTCCGTGCGCAGCGCCTGGCGAGGGCAGCACCCGCGGTGACGGCGGGAAGTTGGTGCCCTTTTGACAGGAGGGAAAACCCGGGCAAGCCGGTTTGGGGTGTATTTATATGATGTTTTTTTGTGCATAAGGTTCAATGAATGTGGGCCGGAATTCTGACACTGCCATGGTTGGGGCAAAGCTGAGGTAGAGGCCCTCGCTTAAACATCGTAGAGCCAATGTGTCAATTGTCTTGAAACACGGAACGGGATCGGGTGACGGTCTGCTTGTTTCATCCTGGCTGGGGGATGGGATCAGCCGGATTCGTTCATGCCAGCCCCTTCGCTGACTGGCGCCATGCCAAAGCAAGAAATACATTTTTTGGGATTCGCGGAGTCCCTATTTCAACTGCTTTCATGATTGAATCAGCTCACGTGGAGGGCGTGATGTCTAGGAAACTATTCCCGGCCCCCCTGAAGTATCGTATGCCAATGGTGCTCGCATGGACACTGGCGACCACCTTCTGGGGTAATTATTGGTTTCTTTGGTGTGGCTTGCAGAATCGACCCCCGATCAAAAAACTTTGTCCCGTTCTTTTTCCGGCAAGGACATACCTCCCCTCGGAGGGGATCGCGGGGCCCGACATGGCCGCGGACGTGGAGCTCATTGAACATGCAGGCGGAGGAGCGGGGTTTCGCCTCTTACAATATTTAATGTGGGCCACAACCAAAGCCGGGCTTCAAGCCAAGCTGGGATGTGTCTTCACAAACGAAACAATTTCACAGAACCTCCGGAAACACTGAGATTCCCCCAAAGGTGCCTTTTTGTTCTCCACATGGGGTGTCTTCCGGTTGTATGTAAGTTATGGACAGAGGAGCCAATAGCTGAGGTCCGAGAGGTTGTGCAGTCTTGAATGTGTTTTCATTGTTCCAGCCTAGAGGAGCCACGAACAACGCCTGGGTAAATTATGGATAGGAGGCAGTCCCATCCCCCTAGGGGTTTCACGTGAGCCAAAGGATTTGATTGTTAGGTGTTGGCGCCAATTCGCCAGCAAGCGAGCCGGAGAAAGAAGCCTTGAGGGCGAAAAGGGGAAATAGGTGTCAATGTGGTTTCAGAAAACCAAAGAAACCATCAAGCATCGCTGTCTGGACTGTGCCAATTCGAGCAATCAAGCAAGCCAGCAAGCAGGCAGGCAGGCAGGCAAGCAAGCAACCACCCCACCCCACACCCCACACCGCCCCACACCGCCCCACCCCGCCCCACCGCACCCCACCCCCATCCCCAAACCCCCACGCCTGCCCACCCACCTGCCCACCCACCCGCCCACCCTCCCATGGGGTTAGGAGCTGCGAGCCATGCGGTGGGCTCGGATCTGCTGACCGGGGTCATCACCGGCGCGGTGAGTTCCCTCGTGTCCCCGGAGATGAGGTTACTGGAGCTTCAAGCTGGAGGCGAGACGGACTGGCCGTTTGCCCCCAACTGTCCCATTCCTCAGGCGCAGCCCAAAGAATGCCAGCATTCTAAAAAAGTCAGCAATTGATCCCCCCGCGTTTCCCTACCTCCCAACCTTTTCCTTCAACCCAACCCCCAGGCGATTTTGTCTCAAATCAGACGACCCCAAAATGGTTGGTTTTTTCTTCTGGTGTCCTTTAAAAGCAACAAGCAACTTCCTTTTCATTCTCCCTTTCCCTTCTTTTCTCCATTCCTTCCTTTCTTTTCTCATTTTCCTTTTCCGTTCCTTTGTCTCAAAAAGGAGACCCTTAAACAAAGTCAAAACAAGCCTCCAAAAGCTAATGATTTACATGTCACACCTAATTATTTGCATGTTATTTATTATGGCTATGAACTATATATATATATATAGATACACACATATGTTGTGGGCTGCGGCTTAGTCCAGACCCCCGATCCAGACCTAAACGCAGATGATCCAGAGACGTCTGGACCACCGCGGAACAATCCATACCCGTCTTTTGAGCCATATATATATATATAGGTATACCCTTCCCTTTTGGGTTGGTTCAGCGGAAGCAAGAGCCCCACTTTTTGCTGGGGCCAAAGTTCCCATTTTTATATGCCCACATGGGTGTCGACTTGACGCCCCGCTCCTCTCGCGCTCCCATGGGTGGCTTCCACGGGACATACCCAAAAGCATCAACTCCCAATCTGGTCTTGGCACTGGACTTACACAAACAAAATCAGATTGTCTTGGGTTTTTGTGGAAGCTCCCAAAATGCGGGAGTTCCCTCACACATTTTTCGGTGTTCTGCTGCCAGGTTTCGTGGCAGCGGTGTCCCAGTGCGCCATCTTCGGCCTGGGCGCCTACCTCGCTGCGGGCCCCTGCCGCGGACTCTCCGAGGCCTTCAACGCCGCTGCGGAGAGCGTGCCGCTGCTCTCAGGGCGGAGCCTCCTGTCAAGGGCCTTCCAACTGGTGGTGGGCGACCAGGCGCCGGAGATCCCAAGACAAGTGCGTATCACATATATATATATATACATGTACTTCTTTATTTGATGCACTTGGGTGCGTGTATGTGTGTGTGTCTGTTGGAGTTGGTGCCCTTCTTTGGTTGGAAGGCAAAACAAAATGAAAAGCACCTAGATGTCCTGCTATTGTGACACATACACAAGTCGGAAGGGATTGGACGTTTGTTTCTACTTTACTTGGTTGCTTAATCCCATCGTTTGGATCTCTGGTAAGTGTTGTTTGTGTTGATCTCATGTAATTTTGGTTTGTCGTCTTTCTTGGGTTTCCGTTCGTTGAAATGCATGTGTGCTATGTGTTTTGTCGTCGTTGCCGATAGTCGTCTTCGTCGTTGCCTTCCTTCTCGTCAAAGGTTTGAATCTAAAGCAATCATTTTGTTGAGGACCCTTGAACACAGTGTTTTTGCGGAATTGGGCTAGGTGATGTCATTTTGGTGATGGTTGTCTGCTGTCTCAGGATTCTGGCCATGGCCCACCAATGAATCAGAAATGTAAATATAAACATATATACATGCAGTTCATGAATCAACACATGGATTTGTCTCAAATAGGATGATCCACACAATGAATGATGTTCATTTTGTTTTTCTTAAACAGGTATCTTTAAAAAAGGCACACCTATATACACGTATACATGTACGCATACGTTTGTTTCAGGGCGTCCATTTTGGCGTCCGTAGAGTCAGTAGCACGACTTAGCTTAAGTGTTTTGAAAAGTTTTGTTTTTGCTTGGGAAGCTCAATCCATAAATCCTGCGCATGGGGGAATGCGTCCATGTTGGGGTGGTAGCACGACTTAGCTTAAGTGTTTTGAAAAGTTTTGTTTTTGCTTGGGAAGCTCAATCCATAAATCCTGCGCATGGGGGAATGCGTCCATGTTGGGGTGGTAGCACGACTTAGCTTAAGTGTTTTGAAAAGTTTTGTTTTTGCTTGGGAAGCTCAATCCA